CAGCTCACGGACCTGCCCTAGGGCAGTATTACCCATAGGGGAAAGTTTCTGCAACTAGCCTCCACACAATGCCACTCACCGCTAGTACTATTTTCATCTTCAACATTGTCGTACAATTGTGTTTTTTATCTCATGTTTTATCAGACCCTTCTTCTTAGCCAAGCTAAATTTACTCCATGGACAATTTCCAAAATTTCCAATGGAAGCTTAATTAAATCGAAATCAAAGTGACGTACACATATATATCTATATACAATAAAGGTTTTGAAGCCGTGCCAATCGCAGACAAAATAAAACATAATACAATTGTATTTTCTGTTATATTATATATTAGTATGTACCATTTGCTTTTGCGTATATAATGGATTATTTTTAGTTTTAAAAGTTGCCTCATGTTTTTGGATTGAACAGCTAGTATAGATTTGGACGTTCGTGTGATCTCTCTCTGTGAATTTTATAACCGATTTTATAAACAACTTTGATTATTTATTTGTGTAATAATATTTATTTTTTACTTTGAAAATAAACAGATTGATTTCATCATGAGGTTCGTAATTCATCATTTGAATGTGTGATACAATAATAAAATAAATTAAATATTTTTATCAATACGCGGCACACTAATAACATTATAAAATACTTATACTTGTACATACAAGTAGACATTAATCACATTTAAAATTAATAATGATCACACTTTTTGGTTGTTAGGTTTTAAATTAAACATACATTATTGTTCTATAAATATTGAATTTAACATAATAATTACGTGCGTGTATGTGTGTTTTCGTCGACGATTTCGGGAACACGGATGAAGCAATTTGAATAATTCAAAAAACATTCGATTCATATTGATAAGAAGACGTGTTGATTAGTTTTTGGAGAAAGCAAGTCTAGTCGTTCCGAAGATATGGGGCAAAAAGTGCCAAAAACGGTAATTCAGTTTTTAAGAGAACGGAGCGTCTGACTTAAATAATTCAAAAAACATTTTACTTGTATTAATAAGATGAAGAACTGATCAAGTTTTCATGAAGGCAGGTCCAGCGGTTTCTAGTAAAAAAAGTAAAAAAAATGCCCTTTGGCGGTCAAAAATGATCATTAGACATATGCACATTAAATTATTAGAAATTTTAACAATAAGTATTTGTTTACATTCCTATAGGTTCCGTACCAATATTTATCCGTTAGATGGCGACGCGGCGCTTACGCGCTTCGATATTTTGTCTCTATGCAGTTAAAGCAGTAGGATTGCTTTGAAAAAAGTTCAGAATTTTCAAAATATTTCAAAATAAATTTTTCCTCAGTCTTTTTTTTTCAAAAAAAAAGTAAATTTTTGTCAAAAATTTATAGTTTCTCAAAAATCTAATTTTTTCGAAGTAAAATTTTTTCAAAAATGTTAATCGTTTTTAAAAAAATATTTTTTGGTACGGGAAGTTCCAGCAATTTGCCTTAAGGCACGATGCGCCCCACTAGTTTTAATTTGTTTTAACAGCGACCAGAATTTATGGGTTCTATGAGCTGTTGTGATAAATTTCTTACAAACTACGTTATTATAGATGGCAACCCAATCAGTTGTGTCATCTCCATATGTCATCTCTAAATGAATTTTATTATTACAATTATTGTAATAGTGATAAATTTCTATTGGTACAGCAATGCCGTATCAGGGCTGTTTTCACTTGATAGTATATTGTTATCTCTATTTCCAAGTGAAAACCGTTGTCACTACTGCTTGACAACAGGCTCCTCGAAGAGGATTTGAACTCGGGACCGCTGAACCAGGTCCAGTCGTTCTAGTCACTTATGTACGAGCGAGGCCGTCATTTACACTGGCAAGAAAATATTGTATATTTGCCTCTTGCTAATACCTTAATAAGAAGAACTGGCTTATATTTGAGGGTCAATATGTCATTATTTTATTTAGGACCATTTTATTATAGAACAAACTAGGACCAAATAGATTCAATTTTATTGCAAATATGCGTATAACATGTGTTATCCTTTGAGTAAAATGTAACAAAAAAAATATACCCAAAAAACAGTAATTTAGTAAAAAACGTAGTACAAATATTGTTTTCCTTTTTTTACTACCTTCCTAAAATCGTATAAAATTGATATGACCTTAGACCAGAATACCCTCTTAATAAAATAAAATGTTATTCGACATTATTTGTGGTTCCCATAATTGCTTTCAGTCAGTGCCTTATATTGTTATATTTTGTTCATAAGCTTTATCAACTTTCTGCAGGGTTTAAACCACTTTTTAAAATTATATTAACCACATTTTAAACTTAAAATTAAATAATTAAAATTGTTATAAACGATTTTAATACTTATATCTTTGTTTTTAATTTATTTTAACATTCGAGAGACGGTTGTGACACTCGCCATTTTCTTGTATGATTTGATTTTATAACAAATCCATCGTATTTATAATATTTTCATGTACACAATTGTTCAAAGTACCATATAATATTTTTTCTCTGAGCTAACTGGCAACTAAACCTAATATTAAAATTAAAAATAAATTAATTACAAAATCTGAACATGTAATACTACATACATTATTCTAATTTATAATATTGGACAGATTGTTAGAATATATATATATATATAAATTTACAGTTCTTTCGGTACAACATCTCCACGATAGAATATACAGCATCCCATATATTTACCTCTTTTTGTATCGCATTTTACTATTTGATTAAAATGGTTAAACAATTGAATTGCAATCTCGATGACACTTAAAATTACGACATTCGTTTAATAAAACAATTGGTGCAAGATTCTATAGCAAAGTAAATTCTCGGTAATGGTACAAATTTATTCTGAAATTCATTTAAATTGACATTTAATTATTCATTAATTAGTCCAAGTGTTACGTTTATATACAAATTTATATTAAAACAAAAATAAGCAGTGATTGAAGAAACCACATAACTGATCAAACGGCTCAAATTCGTAAAGCGGGGTTGTTCAATTCCTAACTTAGTCCGACAAATATCATAAATAGCTTCGTTGTCAACCATAAATGCTACGTCTGCTGCTGAAATAGTTGCATGTGTGGTTAAAATGACATGGTAAAATTCTACAACAGCCGTTGACACCTGCGGATCTGGAACTACTGCAACTTGCAACTTACATTTCTTGTGGTAGGTGTCAGGGAGTCTTTATATTAATAATGATGAAAAGCCGGATCCAGTACCACCTCCAAATAAATTAAATACAAAGAAGCCTTGCACACCTGTACATTGTACAGTTCAGCCTGTGCACGCGATCCATAACATCTTTTCCATCTGTTCCGATTGAATAGTGACCACGAGCGTAGTGACTGGCAGCATCTTCAAATAGCTATTCCATAGATTCCTATTTAAACTTCATTGATAGCCGTTGGCTCCAGGTCAACCATAATTGCCTCTTGGGACCAATTGACCAATAGCACTTTCATTAAAGAACGAATGTGTTTCAAAGTGACTGGCAGCATCTTCTTCAGAAGTTATCAAGTTATCTATTTCATAGGTTCCTACCTAAATTTCATTGATAGCCGTTGGCTCCAGGTCAACCATATTTGCCCCTTGGGACCAATTTACCAATGGCACTTGCACTGAAGAACGAATGTATTTGGAAGTGACTGGCAGCATATTCTTCAGAAGTTATCAAGTTATCTATTCCATAGGTTCCTACCTAAATTTCATTGATAGCCGTTGGCTGTAGGTCAACCATATTTGCCCCTTGGGACCAATTTACCAATGGCACTTGCACTAAAAAACGAATGTATTTGGAAGTGACTGGCAGCATCTTCTTCAGCAGCTATCAAGTTATCTATTCCATAGGTTTCTACCTAAACTTCATTGATAGCCGTTGGCTCCAGGTCAACCATATTCGCCCCTTGTGACCAATTTACCAATGGCACTTGCACTGAAGAACGAATGTATTTGACAGTGACTGGCAGCATATTCTTCTGAAGTTATCAAGTTATCAAACTTCATTGATAGCCGTTGGCTCCAGATCAACCATAATGCTTCTTGGGACTAGTTGACCATTGGCACTCTCATTGAAAAATGAGGTATAGCAGTTGTCTGCTTGCAATTCGATCTTTTACTAGGATTAGCTAATATGGCTTTCGGTTCAAAGACGAGTTCAAGACAGTATAATTTCCATGTTGCGTTTCGTATCTAGACTCCAGCTTGGCCGACGTGTGAATAAATTCATTCCCGCATTATAAATTATTGTAAAATTTATTTAAAATTTGAAGGTATAAAATAAGTATTGAAAAAATATAAAACTGAAATGACATTTGCTTTTGTTTTTTTAATGATATTTATTTATGTAATGATATTATAACCAGTCTCAATTGTTTTTACACATCTTTGGTTAATGGACTTCCAGTAACATAAACCTTTAATTCAGTAAGAACTAAAGCATACCATATTATATTATAAGATTACTATAATTTACCCTACGGGAAGTTAAATATTGATGTAAAAAAACATAATATAGATATATATTTTATTAAGTTAAGTGGTGAGGTTTCAAAATTTTCATCAATAATCAGTCATCAGACTAATATTACAAAAACCACAATTACTTATGTTAATTATCTTAAAAATTTTGATAAATAAATAATTGATACATTGATTTAGAGCATCTTGCCTTTCACCAAAAATTTAATTAAGATATAGTAAATATTCAATTAAAAACAAAATATTTTTCCATTAGCATATCAATCTGATTGAAGCAAATGATCGTATCAATATTAAATAAACAAAACTCAAAATGATAAAATTCGATGCAATCAAATTTAAAAACCCATAAATTTTTTTTATTTACTCTCTTTGTTTGAATCCATATCAGGTTAATTGATTACAATTTCAGAGGTCAGTATTTATAAGAATAGACAGAACATCGCACGATGATAATATAATATTGTACAGTACATTGTTATCGATCGAAGACTATAAATACATTTGAATGTCGATTATTTATTTTTATTAAAAATGTGGTTGAAATTAATTATTTTAGCCGCTTTTAATTTATGGTTAGTGACAAGTTCTGTTTTGGATAATGAAGTGAAAGTTGTTGAAAAGTACGAACCAAATTGGGAGAGTTTGGACAGTCGACCTTTGCCTGAATGGTTCGATAATGCCAAAATTGGAATATTTTTGCATTGGGGTGTATATTCGGTACCCAGTATGGGTACTGAATGGTTTTGGTGGTGGTGGCAAGGTAATAATTGTAATATAACTGGTGACCTATGACATTAAAAGAAATTGATAAACCCTCCAATTTTATAAACAAACGTGGTGCATGGCATCGTTCCTTAAGGCAAATTGCTGGAACTTACCGTACCAAAAATCAATTTTTTTAAAAAAGATTAAAATTGTTTTTAAACTTTGAAAAAATGAGATCTTTGAGAAATTTTAAATTTATGAAATAAATTGACTTTTTGGAAAAAAAGACTTTTTGAAAAAGAATGTTTTCTTTGTTTTGATTTTGACAACTGATGTTATGGAACCCATTGAAATGTAAACAAAATTTATAAGTATTATTAAAATCTCCATAAAATATCTGATAATTTGATGTGCCTATGTTTAATAATCATTTTTGACCGCCAAATGGCATTTTTTTCTTTTTTTACTTGATCTCCGAAACCGCTAGACCTGCCTTCCCAAAAATTTTGTCAGTTGTCCATTTTATCAATACAAATAAAATGTTTTTTAAATTATTAAAAGCGGACGCTCCGCTCTCTTAAAAACTGAGTTACCTTTTTGGCACTTTTTGTCCCGTATCTCCCAAACGGATAGATCTGCCTTTGTCAAAAACCAATCAGCACGTCTCCTTATCAATAGGAATCAAATGTTTTTTAAATAATTGAACCGTGTTCCTGAAATCATCGACAACAATTTGTATCCGCACACACAAACACACACATACACCAATTTTTTCTAAGGTATGCCAACATGTTCAGAAACCTCTAAAACGCAAAGATAAATAAAAAATTTCATTTTCGATTTTTTTGCGATTACTATAACTTATCCTACGGAAAGTTAAAAATTTAGACAAATATTTGTGTACTTAAATATTATCAAATTATCTATAAAAATAAACTAATTTGATGTCCATATGTGATATACTCATTTTTATTACCAAAATCCGCGATTTAAACAATTTTTCCATCGTAACTTCGAATTGACTAGTCCAGAATTTATCAAAAACCAGTGAGCTCATTTAACAATGCAAATCAAATATTTCCAATAACATTTAAGTTAAATATCAAAAATATACCCATTTTCGTAATTTCAATGTTTTACCTTATAGTAAGAGTTAATAATTTAGAAATTTTGAAATAAATTGAATAAATTACATATTCTACTTTCTTTACGCAAAAATAACAAATACCAGTTTTTAAAATGTTAAATGAAATTATTTCGACGAACAATCTTAGTTTTCGAAATCATAGGACCCTAATTTCTAAATAAATATTTCTAACAGTACAATTTATTTCTAGGAGGAAACGTACCAGAATATGTAGAATACATGAAAAAAAATTACCCGCCTGGATTCACATACCAAGATTTTGGCAAAGAATTTAAAACCGAACTTTTTGATCCAAACTATTGGGCTGATGTATTTAGAGCATCGGGAGCTAAGTAAAAGATACATTTTATTTGAAATTAAATACTCTTAGGAAAATCTAATAACTACCATAACTTAAATCATAATATTTAAGCATAATATTAGGTCGACCATTTTTTTCATTATTTGCCTTATAATTTTTTTCTGTAATTTCATTTAGTTACTGATCATTGCTAATAAAATATACAGATTTTTTGAATCTTCTATAAAAATTAGTTATTGTATAACTAACTTAGTAATAAAATAACTAATTAAAAAATATAGCTGAAACCACTAGTAGACCAAATAACTTTGTTTACACTGTTTTTAATTAATTAATATAATGTTAGTTGAAATTTTCTTATATAGTAGTCTTATTACGCACGAAGAATAAAAATGTAAAGAAACAGAAAAGATATTGATAATTTTTTATAGTTGTAGTATAGTTGTTTATACTAATTTTAATAGTTTTTTTTATTATTGCAAAATTTAGTATTGCTTAATTATACAAATACTGTAAAATATTAATTATGTTGAACCGTTTTTTTTTAGATTGGCAACATATTTTGTAGCTTAACTTCAAATATCTGATAAAAATCTTATTTAGGTTAAGCTACGAGATCCATCAACATATATAAAGATACGAGAAAAAATGTTTTATAGATTACTTAATGTTCACGTTAGATTAAAAAATGAAATGTATTTTTTTTTTAATTTATAGATACGTAGTCCTAACCAGTAAACATCACGACGGTTATTCTTTGTGGCCTTCTAAATATTCCTTCAGCTGGAATTCACAAGATTTAGGAGCACACAGAGACTTAGTTGGTAAGATTTTTATGAATTCAAAATGTTCATTACGTTTATCATGATTGGAAAAAAATATGAATAATATATAATAAATTTTATTGAAGACTTAGACTTAGACTTTCCTCTTCAGTTTTGTCGTTAATATTTGCTCATTAAAACCAAAAAAGTATATGTGTATTTGTCTATTATTAAGAAAATTTCCATTATTCAGGTGAATTAGCAGAAGCGATCCGTAACAAAACGGATCTAAAATTTGGTCTTTACTACTCATTGTTTGAATGGTTCAATCGACTCTATAGAGACGATCAAGCCACTAATTTCACAAGCAAAAATTACGTAAACACAAAAAGTTTACCGCAACTTCATGAGTTGATAAATACATATAAACCATCGGTTTTATGGTCAGATGGTGAGGCCGATGCTTCAGAATACTATTGGAATAGTTTGGAGTTTTTGGCTTGGCTTTATAATGAAAGCCCAGTTAAAGATGAGGTAATAACTTTTGGACAAAGCTTATACATATTAATAAATGTAAAATTTGAATCATTTATTTTATTTATCAATTTTTAGATTGTAACCAACGATAGATGGGGAACTGACACTCATTGCAAGCATGGTGGTTTCTTCTCATGTAGTGACAGATACAATCCAGGTAATAATGAAAACGAATGTACTATATCAGTGTTGCTCAGCCATCAAAGTTTGGAAAAGCACATGTGCAATACAAATTAGATGATCAAATTTAAAACCTTAAATGCAACCTTATTTATTGTCAGTAAGTAGGGGGAAGTCCCCGAGTGCCGGACACCTAAGGTTATTTATAAATAAATCAAAAAACTTTTTACGAAATGTTTATCAAATTATGACTTATGTTAGATAACAAAGTTAGAAATCAAACTAAATTAACAAAAACGCAATCTTTGCTAAACCATAATTAATACTATCAATCAAACTTTGGTAACAAAAAATGTGATTTTACGAAGTGGCACCTAGTACCGGACATTTCAAAATAACCAGCATTGAACACGCCGTGTGCGTCACAGGTGAGTCTTGGCGCGTGATCCTGCACCTGTGTGCCCCCTACGCCCCTTTCACTTGTATTTTGAAATAAAAAGATTTATTCTCGCTTAAATATTATGGGTTAAAAGTGTCCGGCTTTAAGTGCCGTCCGGCGTTACGGGACTTCCCCCTACTACAAAAATTTCATAGAAAACTAAAGCAATGAATCATAAAATTTCTCAAAAACCGCTTGAATGCACATCTCTTAATAAATGATTCTTACAGCAATAAATAATTTTGAATAAATTCATAATAAGTTGTATCCTTAAAATAAAAGCAATCCCACAAAAACTTTATATTTAAGGAAGCAACTAAAAATGTATATTAGTTGTCAAATATGATCACCATCATCTCTATCATTTTCTATAAGTCTTCGACTGGTAGATTTTTGATGGATGCCCCATTTCATGATACTTTTCTCCAAAAATAAATATTATTTTATTAGCACAAACCTTAGATTTCACAAAAACTCAAAAACTTTAAAGACTAGTTGCAAATGTCTTGCAGATTAACATTTCTTTAAGAAAAATCATCGCCTAAATCTCGAAATAGTCAATATATTTGATGAAAATTATTTATTTTCTTATTTCTTCAGGTACATTGCAGCCTCACAAATGGGAAAATGCAATGACTATTGACAAAGCATCCTGGGGATACAGAAGAGATGCCAAATTATCAGACTATATGACTCAAAAAGAACTGCTGAAGCAATTGATCCAAACCATCAGTTGTGGTGGAAACATTTTGGTAAACAAATTTCTAAAAAAAATACTCTTAATATAAAACATTTATAATGTATCATATAAAAATCAGATTGTATCCAAAAGTGATAATAAAATTTGTTTTTAGATAAATGTAGGACCAACCAAAGAAGGAACAATCGATGTAATCTTTGAGGAGCGCCTACGAAATTTAGGTGCATGGTTGCAAATTAATGGAAAAGCGATTTACAAATCACAGCCTTGGTTGCACCAAAATGACACTTTGACTAATGATGTTTGGTATACAACAACTAAAGAAGAAAACTGCAGTAAGTTGAAACATAATTAAGAAAGATAAAAAATTGGTAATAGATTGGTTTGGAATACTGTTCTTCGCCTTGTCATTCACCAAGTCAGTGTTAGGTTTGTAAACACCATTGTTCATTTTCACCAGATTTTTCACAAAATGAGTGCAGTATATAATTAGTAATCATAATATTTATCGGATTTTAAAAATTCCAGATACAGTATTTGCTCTGTTCTATGACTGGCCAGCTGACGACAAATTAGAACTGGGCGCTTTGGTAAAATACATAGAAAGCTCGGGATCGGTAACCATGCTCGGCAATGACAATAAATTGACGGTAAATTTTTTATATCAGTTTAAAAATACCAATAACAATATTATTTATTAATTTTGAAATTATATTCGCAGTGGGCCAAAACCGATAAAAGTGTGAAGATAACTCTACCTGCAAAAATACCATCTACAGACGCATGGGTTTTAGAAATTAAATTAAAATAAAAAATATTGAAAATTTAAATGTGAAATACCTTCAATCTTTTGTTATAATAAAGAAATATAAAATTTATACTATTATTATTAAATTTGAAAAAAAATCAAATGTATTTTCTGTTAGAATTGACTCCTTTATGATTCATAACGTCATAAACATTATGAAGTATCTATATTAACTATTTCTACTCGCAAATTCCGAGATTTACATGTATATTGCCGCCGGAGCCGCAGCATCCGAGTGGAAAGGGTTGAAAATACAAATTTTTTTACAAATTTATTTTTTCAAAAAATGCTTCAAACAGTAATCAAATTCTTGATTTCTTGATAAATTAAAAATACAAAGAAAACTGTAACAAAAGAACCACTGGCATTTTTTAATGATTCTTGAACAAAAATTTGAAAATTTCATAAATTTAATGTATAAAATAATTATATTTTCTCAAAACTTGCTTCAAACTGTAAACGAATTCTTACATTTGAAAACTGTTTAAGAAACTGTTAGAAAGAAGCTTTTTTTAATTTTGTACAAAATATGAAAATTTCACTCGAAAAATAAGCATCGAGATTAGAGTACAGGGTATGGGCTCCTTGAATATTATAATCACTATTTATATTATTATTATCATTATATATTATCAATAATTTATATTGAAGCGCAAGACAACCTAGCCTAAATTTGCCAAAAATTGACATTTGAATGTGTTCTAAAAATTTTGGGCAGTGCATTAATATTCTGTAAGTTGTAGGAGTTATGGTCATTTAAAAATTAGTTCAAATGCTCAAAAATACAAAACTGAAAAGTATTATAACTTTTTTAATAATGGTTTAGTATTAAATGGTATAAATAATTGGTCTACACCGATGTGAAAAAAAAAAACACGTCAACTGTTCGAAGGGGTCACTTTTATAAATTTTCAATAATATACAATTTCAAATGATAAGGTATAAAGTTGAAAAAAAGTCTGTAAATTTCGATTCATAAATGATGATCACGTAGATTTTTCGTGATTAATTTTGATTTCAATTTCATAATCGGCAATATTACCTCAATAAATATCAATATATCGTTTGAAATCAGTATTTAAAAATAATAAAGATTTGTTATTAATGTTGTGATAATCTTAATTGTTTGTTTTAATCTTCTTGTGATTATATATTATCTAAATGTTATTTTATCTTTTGTTTAGACGAAAGTTACTTTTCACGATGTTATCATGAGAAGATAAACGGACATTCTGTACAAAACAATACAAAAGATAGGCAGAGAGCTGTCGTACGATTTATTAAATGATAAAATAATCAAAATATATATATATATATATATATATATATATAATCATTCTATCATTAATTTCCCGTAGGGTAAGTTATAGTAATAGGCCGAAACTCGAAAATGAATTTTTTTGCATATATTCACTTTTCAGAGGTTTCTGAACATTTTGGCATACCTCAGAAAAAATTGAATATGTGTGTATGTGTTTTGTGTGTCCGCATTTTTTCGTCCACGTTTTTGGGCGCACGGACCAACGATTTGAATGGTTAAGAAAACCATTACTTTTTGGCAATGGCAGGTCCAGCCGAAAAAAGTGCAGAAAATAGAAATCGAGTTTTTGAGAGAACGAAGTATTCAATTTGAATGTTCCAAAAAACGTTCAATTTGTAATGATTAGCAGAATTGGTGATTAGTTTTGGCAAAGGCAGTTCCAGTCATTTTGAAGATACAAGGCTAAATGTACAAAAAATGGCAGTTTTTGAGAGAACGAAACATACGATTTGAATGATTCAAAAAACTTTCTGCTTGTGCTGACAAAAAAATTCTTTTGAAAAAAAAACGTATTTTAATTTTTTTTAATTTACATTAAATGAATAATTTTAACTTTTAACTTATATACATACATTAAATAAATAATTTTAACTTTGTAATTCAGTTTATATAATTCTTATAAATATTAAACAATGTTACAGTATTTATAATAATCTATTTGAAAACATTCAGTATTCCTCGAACATTTCGTTACAGTACGAAAAGTTCTAGCAATTTGCCTTAAGGCACGATGCCATACAGCACTAGTTTTTTTATATTCGACATTCAGTATTGTTCAGTTAATTGTTTGGCGAATGAATGTAAAAAGCAACCCAATGGTTATCATTTAATTGTGATGATATTTCAACGTTTTGCAGCAATGCTCACAAGGGCTTTTTCGTTTGGTAAAATAATTTTGATCTATATTCTCAAGTAAAAATATATAACACTACAGCTTGATATCAGGTTGCTCGCAACGCAGGATTCGAACCCAAAACCCAGTTGCTGCAAGGCCAGAATGTCTACCATCCCTGACAATAAAAATAATAGAGAAACTTTGAAAGTACCCTCTGTTACTCTATAAAAAATGCTATTTTAAGTGGCATTTTAGAAGGCCAACAGTTGATCATCTATATTTAATAGATTTATTTGATTATTAGAATTTCTCTAATGCAACATATTAAGACCAATATTTTCAATTAAAAAATGCTTGACAAAAATCTGTTCAAATTCAGATCGAACGGGGAATGCAAGACCATTTCACTTACCCCAAGACCACAAGGAAGTCTTGAAATCCCAAACATAGTCCATTTGTAAGCATTTGTAAACTATTGCAAAAAACTAAAATAAAAATTAAACACATTTAATAAAACTTTTGTTCGACGCCCTGTCTAAGGTTCAAGATATCAATATAAATACATATAGTAGAGTAATAAAACGATTCAGTGTCTTTTAAGTTTCCAAAACAAATTGAACATGCATAAATTAAAAAAAAATCTCAAATCGATCATAAAAGTTTTAATATTAATTTCAGTAATTAATACAACTTCTGGATCAGATGCTAACAAATACGAAGCCACCTGGGAGAGTTTGGATAGCAGACCATCTCCCAGTTGGTATGATGATGCCAAAGTTGGAATATTTTTACATTGGGGAGTTTATGCAGTACCAAGTTTTGGCACAGAATGGTTTTGGCAAAATTGGCAAGGTAGATTTAAAAAATAATATAAAAATATATATGTTTAATAATTTATTTAATGATATTTTTAGGATCTAATGTGTCCTCCTACGTGGATTTTATGAATCAGAACTATCGACCGGGATTTACATATCAAGATTTTGGTACAGAATTTACTACGGAACTGTTTGATCCAAACCACTGGGCTGAGCTATTCCAAGCTTCTGGGGCTAAGTAATAAATGATAACAATAAAATTGTGGTGTAACAGAAATATTTGAATTACGTTTTTATTTCAGATATGTTGTGTTAACAAGCAAACATCACGAAGGATACACCCTGTGGCCATCAAAGTACTCTTTCAGTTGGAACTCCCAGGACGTTGGTGCTCATAAGGATTTAATAGGTAAAATCAAATAATTATCAGAAAAGTAGAACTAATTAAAGTAAATTAGATCTTGTGTATGGCAAGGTAAAAAGCTTAAATCTTGCAACCTAATAAGATTATTTTCCGAACTCGGAAAACTTGATATCAAGCAGTAGTGATATCAGTTTTCACTTGAAAATATAGATCTAAATATGAGCTCAAGTAAAAATAGCCTAATAAAGTACATACCATTATCTAAAAATATAATAATCTCATCACAGAAAGAATGGACAACCACTGTGTTGTCATCTAATAACGCTAGGTTATGAAAATCACAACAGCTCATGGAAAACGTGAGAACATTTTTGATAGTTGTTAGAAAAAAATATCAATCTTTCGGCCTCAAATGATATTTCAAGCAATAATAATAAAACTCACAGATGGAAAATTTGAAAAATTTCATACCAACTGCAAAAAACCCGTTTAAGATTTCCATTAGGATTGTAAAACAGTAAACTTCACAGTCAAAACAAGCAGAAAGATTTTTAAACCATTCAAATCGGATGCTTAGTTCTCTCAAAAATTGCCATTTTTGCAGAATTAGCTCGGTACCTCCGAAACGGTTGAACCTGCCTTTGGCAAAAACTAAACACAACTTCTCCCAATTATTACAAATTGAATGTGTTTTCTATTTTCTGCACTCTTTGCTTCGTAACGGCTGAACCTGCCTTTGCCAAAAACTAATCAGCACATCTCCCCATCAATAGGAATCGAATGTTGTTTGAACCATTCAAATCGGTGCGTAGAAAAACGTGATCGAAAAACTGCGGACACACAAAACACACACACATCATTTTTTTCTGAGGTATGCGAAAATGTTCAGAAACCTCTAAAACGTGAAGATATGCAAAACTTTTCATTTTTGAATTTTGGCCCATTACTATAACTACCCTATGGGAAGTTATAAATAAAAAAAATAAAATTATATGAATGATTTCAACAATGGTAGTCAACAATTCAACCAAAGAACAATATTTTTCAAGTCAGCATATATCCTTTAATCATGACCATGATCATTGTAATATAAATTAAGAACATTATTATCCGTTAAATGAAAACAAAATATAAAATTGATTGACATAAGTTTTGATGTAATTTCAAATTTGATCTCCATTTCTATCCAATGAACATTGGCATTCCAAGTTTGGATAGCTGATATTTCAAGGCTTCCGTCTCACTAAATCCAATTGATTTTACAATGTAGCTTTGATTTATTTCATCATATTTTACATCTTTACTGCAGAAAAAGTGAAAATGTTGTGAAAACATATGTTGATGGTACATGTTCTGCAGAAATGGCAGAAACTTTTACAGATATTACTTGATGCAATAATGACACGCGATAATGGTGATGAATCAATTTATCAAATTACCACTTCCATGACAAATTGAAATGTAGAAATGATATTTTAAGATAATCTAACATTCTGAGCAATATAAAACTTGTGACAAAAATCATAGCTTTTAAATATTTTTTTGCAAAAATATTGCCAAACCGTAATGAGGTTTTCAACATTAATTTATGGGTATCAAGTATAATAACCTAATATGAAAAAAGGCATAATCTTTTTTACCATATATCAATTCAAATGAAATCAAATATTTTCTCAATCTCGTGCCGAATATGGTGCCATAATGTTCATTAAACACAAAATATTTAGACGTCCTATTAATCAGACTCAATTTAGTATCTTCAAATCAATAACCTCGAAAAACTACTTCTCCTTCAAGAAGATAATAAATTATTTCTAATTATTTTTTTCAATTAGGTTTACTAGCCAACGCAATTCGCAGCAAAACCAACTTACGTTTCGGTCTCTATCACTCCTTGTTCGAATGGTTCAACAGACTATATTTGGAAGACAAAGCTGGTGGTTTCAAAAACAGCAGTTTTCCAGACCTTAAAGTTCTTCCTGAAATGTATGAACTGATCAATACCTATAAACCAAGTATTTTGTGGTCTGATGGAGAATGGGAAGCTGATGATTCGTATTGGAAAAGCAAAGAATTTTTGGCTTGGTTGTACAATGAGAGTCCAGTTAAGGATGAGGTAAATTTTGAAAAGGTTATTAATGGGCAGATTCTGCCGCACAACAACCCAATGTTATGGCAAGGCCATGTTACGCCCCAACTTCCATACATTATGCTACTGAATCATACTGAATACCTTATAATTTACTTATCTATGCTGAATACTGTCACAATGTCATGTATTTGCTGTGCTTTCAGGCGTTTTACACATAATCTGCAACGCGGTTGGTGTGTTATGAAGCCGAGTCAGAAAGACCCTGTTATCTAACATCGTTTTTTTGACATTTGTGCGGTTTATAGGTTAGGTTTTCTATTTGACAACCTGAGAAAGACGCCTGACTGCACACCGACCACATGGCTGTTGTCAATATTTAGTATGGAAAGTTCTATATAACATAGCCTTGCCATAACATTGGTCTGTAATACGGCAGAATCGGTCCATAAGTGAACTCACAGTTACAAAATAATGTTCCTAGTCGATAGAGTGATTTTGTACGGTAGTTTTCAAATCAGGAACTTGGATTGTCTAGTTTACCTTCTAATAACTTATTCATTGCATATTTTAATCTATTTAAAAAAATAGCTAAAACTCCAGAAAAGGTCTAATCAAATATTTATTTTAACTAGTTCATTAAACATAAAATATTGACGCATTGTCCTATTGACGAGGCTCAATTTTATAGCAAATAATCAATCCTTTAACGACCACAAACAATAATTATTTAACTAACAGATTACAATACTAATCATAGATCGAGATCATAAATATTGTAATTGACATATTTCCATCAAACGTTTGCTTAGAGCAGGGGTCGGGAAACTTTTTTAATCATTACCCCAATTTTTTTGTCTAATTTGATATTATCCCCATGACGAAGAGAGATTGCCCCCCACATGGACAACTACGTTGCAAATACAGTGAATATCAGTTAAAAATACATACGTTTTACCCCCAAAAATTTCATTTTTACTCCATTTGGGGTAATTTACCTTGGTTCCCCAACCACTGGCTTAGAGGTATTTCTCTAACATTGAATATATATTTGAACATAATTTAGCAACTAAATCCATTACCATAAATATCCAAAATTAAAAAAGAAACCTTCAAATTTCCATTATTCTATTAGGTTCTCGTGAACGACCGCTGGGGATCAGCAACTCTGTGCAAACATGGTGATTTCTACACGTGCATTGACAAATACAATCCAGGTATTTTTTACAAATTTAAATAAATAGTAATTAATGAACAAATACTTATATTATTCTATTTTTTGCAAATATATAGGTGTACTGCAAGAACACAAATGGGAAAACGCCATGACATTAGACAAAGGATCTTGGGGTTACAGAAGAAACGCAAGGTTATCAGATTATATGACGACCAAGGAGTTACTTAAAACCCTTATGGAAACTATTAGCTGTGGTGGAAACATATTGGTAAGAAAACGTATTGGTATAATTTGTTCTCTGAAGGCACAATTTGCCACCAGCTAAATAAAGCCAAATATCTTCATCAGTTTATGGCTTCAGCTGGACTTTTCAGAATGAAAATTTGAAAACTGGTCAGTAGACTAATAAAATTCATACTCACAGAAATTTAAAATTAAGTACAACAAACCAACATAATTATACAAAAAATTATATTTATGTTCTATCCATCATTTTTCTTCTAGATAAATGTGGGCCCAACGAAAGAAGGAACTATTGATGTTATTTTTGAAGAGCGTTTACGCGAACTCGGCGCCTGGATGAAAATTAACGGCAAGGCAGTATACGAAACAAAACCCTGGTTGCACCAGAACGATACATTGACACCAGGAGTCTGGTTCACCACGCCCAAAATAGAAAATTCTGGTTAGTCGTTCAACCAGGTTAAATACATAAAAAACTTAACAGCTCATGTAAAATAATCTGACAATGAGAACCTCAGGTTTAATCTTCTAGGATTTTGATGAAACTTTGCATGGCGATAGAGTTGATTGCCATACTTAACAATTTGAAATATTATAGGCCTATGAGAAGCGGTTTGATTATAAAAATTAATTAAAATTTTGAAAAATCGGCCGTGCCCAATACTTGCAGTGTTCCATATTATAATATGCCTCGGTAACTTATTGGGTTTATGCGAGATACTACCACTTTTTGCAAAGTATACAAAATTTAAAATGATAATAGATACTATATGTTGCAATTATTATTATTAACGTATGATTTCTTCAAAATTTTCTGAATAACCCAAGGCTGGTTGCAAAAGCATGCAATTCATGATTTTCTGAAGTTTATTCTTATTTTATTTGATGTTAACTCTTTCCACATTTTGTTCATATACATTTCACATGGTATTTTATAATTACATTTTAAAACAAATTTGCTTAAAAAATTGACAGTTTTTAACTTCCCGTAGGGCAAGTTATAGTAATCGCAAAAAAATCGAAAATGAAAATTTTTATATATCTTTACGTTTCAGAGGTTTCTGAACATTTTGGCATAACTTAGAAAAAATGGATGTATGTGTGTGTGTGTGTGTGTGTGTGTGTGTGTGTGTGTATGTACGTGTGTGTATGTATGTGCGGATACAAATTTTCGTCGACGATTTCGGGAACACGGATCAACCGATTTGAATAATTCAAAAAACATTCGATTCGTATTGATAAGGAGACGTGCTGATTAGTTTTTGGCGAAGACAGGTCTAGCCGTTCCGGAGATACGGGGCAAAAAGTGCCGAAAACGGTAACTCAGTTTTTAAGAGAACGGATCGTCCGATTTGAATAATTCAAAAAACATTTCACTTGTATTGACATGATGAAGAATCGATCAAATTTTCATGAAGGTAGGTCTAGCGGTTTCGGAGATATGGAGGAAAAAGTAAAAAAATGTGCCATTTGGCGGTCAAAAATGATCATTAGACATATGCACATCAAATTATCAGATATTTTATAGAGATTTTAACAATAAGTATAAATTTTGTTAACATTCCTATGGGTTCCGTACCAATGCTTATGCGTTAGACAGCGACGCGGCGCTTACGCGCTTTATATTTTGTCCTTATGCAGTTAAAGCAGTACTATTGCTTTGAAAAAAAAAGTTCAGATCTTCCACAATATGTCAAAATAAAAAAAAAACATTTTTTTTAAAAAAAAAAAATTAAAAATTCTTTTTTTTTTAAAAAAAAAATTTTTTTTTTAAAGTAATTTTTTGTCCAATTTATAGTTTCTCAAAAATCTTATTTTTTCAAAGTAAATCTTTTTCAAAAATGTTAATCGTTTTTAAAAAAATAATAATTTTTGTTACGGGAAGTTGCAGCAATTTGCCTTAAGGCACGATGCCTTAATTGCCTTAAGACAGAATTCCACTTACAGCTAGTTTATATTAAAATTGCAAATTTTGATTACAGATGTAGTATACACTTTCTTCCATGAATGGCCACAATCAGACCATTTAGAAGTAGCAGTTTTGCACAAATATTTACAAGAAACTGGAACTATCAAAATGCTTGGAAATCAAGAAGAACTTCAGGTAAATATATTGCACATACATTTCACATATCTATTATAATACTATCGTTATTTAATTCATTCTATTTTTTTTTTTATTTTAGTGGTCCAAAACGGACAAAAGTGTTGATATAAATTTGCCTTACAAAACACCAGTAAAAGATGCTTGGGTATTGGAAGTGAAGTTAAAATAAATATTGATACAATTTAATAAGTAATACGACCTAGAATGATATGATATAAGCTTAATAAAATCTTTTTTTTTTGTTATCTGGAATTTATTTAATGCAGAATCTTGCAAACTTATTATAAATATTAACCCTTTCGACTCGGATGCCGCCACTCCAGCGGCAAAATACATATAAATTCCGGAATTCGCGAGTGGAAAAGGTTAAACTATTGTGATTTCATTTAATTTTTTTAATTATTGTAATATTTATTATGGTGAATTTTGGAGTAAAAACTGATATGCCAGAATACTAATAGTGAAGAAAGATCAGTAAAGACTTCAGCTTCTAAAATGCCAAAAAATGAGGTAAAGATATGCCTAGTTCTTAAACACATTAAAAAGCCAATAATGGAAACAAGACTGAACGGTTGTGCCAAGGTATGGTAGTGGCAGTCGTCATAACAGCTAAACTATACTGATTTTGAGATAGGGTCCAAAAGGAGAAAGATGAAGTATGCTTGTTCGAACAAGTTCACATTATTGCTTTCAGTCAGCACTCTACATTAAAATAATCTGTAGTCGAATTGCTTTTAGCGAGCCAAAAGTAATTTTTCGAATTCTTTTAATAAAAACTGTTACTATAGTAACATAAAGGGATCTATATGTATAATATAGTATACTTATAGATCCCTTTATTTGTTATTTTACTATAAGTTAAACATTAGTAGTTTATAACCAGTAATTAGTTTTTGCGTAGATAATTTAGCTTAATCATAACAATGATTTGTTTTCAAAAGTGTGTGTTGGGTACGGTTGTGACAAATTTCTTGTCCTTTTTGGGTGAAGATTGAGCAAATAAAAAAACTGTCTTGGAGTGTGAACGGTTATGACACTCGCCCTTTTCTTGTATCATTTGATTTAAGAACAGTATTCCAGTAGACAAACAACCAAATTATCATTTAATTTCCTTTATGTTACAAAAAGGGTAAATGCCTTCTTGTCAGCTTGAATAATAGGGTCAAACCCAAAGTCTCCACCTTGATATATTTTTGGATAAAAAATGAAACTGGATTATAAACTAAAAAGCTGCAAAGTAAGGTTTGGTCACTCTATTGGCTTTTAGGACGTTAGGAAGTTATCCCTGAGCAACGAAGTTCTCACCAAAATTTTCCAAAAAAAAAACATTTGGACCTACGGGGTTGAGCTTTGTGAATGCGCTAGTAAATCATCAAGGTTCAAAGGTTCAAATCCTTACAAAGACAACAATAAAAAAAATTTAAGCGCGCCATGGTATGTATCAAATCAAATCCTGCACAATGATCTCAATATTGAAACAGTTCAATGGAGGATCATCTATCATGTCCATGTTTATATTCAAGTAACAAACTACTTTCCAACCTGTGGGGCGCGTTTCCTTAGTTGGACGCATACATCTGTTTCCAGCATTATTTTCAAAATAACCCAAAATTTATGTAATGATGCTAAAAAATAAATAAAAAATAATCAGGTTTTATGCATATTGTTACATATTATTGCATATTAATATGTAGTCTGATAATATCAGTGAGTATTTTATTAGAGCAGGGGCGCGGTGCAAAAAAGGTTGAAAACCACTGACTTAGCCAAACAACAGCTATAGAACAACATGTTCTGATGTTCTGATTGCTATTCAACAATATAAAAAAAAAGTTCACCAGAACATTTTTTAGAAATCCTATTATGAAAAAACTCTGACATTACTAAAACCCATGTCATACACGGCTATGATATAAACTGGCATGTTTATTGTAAAAGATAAATTAGCCAATGATAAAACCTACATTAAAACTAGTTACTGGGAGTCATTCATAGATTGCGCGGAATGACCTTATGGGCTGTTGAACGGAAACCGCGTTATAGGAGGGCTGTTGCAATTTCAGCTCCGTGAAATATGGCATCCACGATCCCAGAGTACCGCGCTATAGTAATTTTATATAAGTTTATAATTTTATCATAAGAATCAATGTCCGGTCAGCACAAAAATCTATTATCCATTTGAATTGGTTTCATATGAAAGTGAACGTCGAAACAAGGAAAATTTACAACGCCTACTACAATCAGTCTATCGTTTCTACTTTTATTGTTCCAGAACTTAAAAATGCAAGTGTTACATTATATATGAATCGTTTTAGAAGAGCATTTTCATTATAAATAATTGTTATTAAATTAAATTGATTAATTAATATGTATAAAATTCATACAATAGTGGAGCATCGAACAAGCCGTGTAAGGACGATCAAGGTTATCGCGGGAGGCAATGTCATATAATACAAAACACTATCGTTTCGTTCAACTCAGTTTTGTAAAAAATTATTTTGTATTTAGAATTTTTTAAAATTTTAATCTTTTCTTAATAGTGCTTTTTTAAATATTAACAATTAATTTTACATTACTCTCTTTATGTATTTTAAAGATTCTTCTCAATAATGTCTAATAAATTTGAATATTTTTTATTAATTTCTTGTCTAATAAGTGCAGTGACAGCATCGATCATTGTCCAAGGTAAGTTATATTTTTGGTTTATTTTTTTAATTAAGCATGCCATACGAAAAATATTGTTTACATTGAAATAATTATATGAAAATGCCAAATTTTAGTGTAAAGTTTACAAATCTGTATTTTCAAAGAAAAAGTTATTTAAATAAGAATAAACATTTTAGTGACTTCAATGCAAATACTGTTAGCATTGCTAAAAATTAATCATGCATTAAATTAAAAGAATGTTTTTAATAAATAAATTTTTGAAAACGATTGACTACTGACGTCATTTTTTAGAAATAATTTTACAAATTTTAGATTATATTAAAGTAAATTATTTTTAAAGTAATTACTATTAAGCAGATTTTTATTAAATTTATAATTTATTAATTAATTAATTCAAGTACATTATTATAAAAGTAGATTATTATTAAAGTAGACATTTAGGTTTGATGTAATACAACATTTTGTCAAATTTGGATTTTGGATTTTTTTGAATTTCTAACGGGTCAATCAGGATATAGTTTGTCAGAGCGCACCATGTTGTACTGCAACAATCGTACTAATAACTAATAACAATTATAAGTATTTCAAATATTCAGTATTTGTGACAAAAAAGAAAAGAATTGATATTTATTTAAAAAAGTCACATAAAGCATATTTTTAATAATAGTTGTTCCGATTTTCGTTATGGGTCGATCAGGATATAGTTTGGCATGACGTGTATACCATGATGTACTACAACTTTTATCCAAATACAAATCGTTTTACTTAACTGCTGTAGCCGGTTATTAGATATAATGAAAAACAATCTGCTTAAATTTATTATTAAATACTTTAACATGAGAATTAGGTATTCTATAAAATAAACTGTGTATACTATCATATATTATTTATACAATTTACATTTTATTTTATTCAACTTGGAAATCTTAGTATATCTTATTGTTAATATTTTTTTCTTCGAGGGGGCAACCCAGCGGTCAACCACTATTAGATATGTATATCTAATGGTGTTGGCGTGTATGTGTTGCAGCAATGCCCACAAAGTACGTTTGAGATTCTATTTGAGATTTATAACCTCGAGTGGATTTTCGATATCATACTGCTTGATATCGAGCTGACCGAGGTTGGGATGAAATCCGAGACTAATTTATGGCTATCATCACGTTATTAACTTAAGTATTTAAAATTTTCAGTATTTGTGACAAAAAAGAAAAGAGTTGACATTTTTCAAAAAATTCACACTAACATATTTTTAATAATAGCGTGTTTACCATTATGTACTACAACAATCGTACTAATAAATCGGTGTTGGCGTGTATGTGTTGTAGCAATGCCCACGAAGTGCGTTTTTTGCTTTGAGATTCTATTTAAGATTTATAACCTCAAGTGAATTTTTGATATCATATTGCTTGATATCGAGCTAACCGAGGTTGGGATCAAATCCGGGATTAGTTTATGATAGCCCACGTTATTAACTATTAGACCACGACGGGGTCTAATATTTTATATAAATGCATATGTATAAAAAAAAATAATAAAGCAAAACGTCAACATATGAACTAAGTTCCAAATACGTTTTAGATTTTTATACACGCCAGGGTCTCTTTATATATAAAAATAAAGGACAAATATTAGGACAAAGTGGAAAACATTTTTTATTGGTGTTTTAGAAAATCAATCATAACTACTATCAAAACTACTTGTCCTATAAGTTATTTGTTTGAAGGCGGCTTACTTATTATTTCACCAGAAGGCAACACAACGGTTAACCGCTCACTTTTGTGGCATTTTATATATATATATATATATATATATATATATATATATATATATATATATATATATATATATAGTTAAAGGACAATATAACTTAAGATCATATTTGAAATTTATGATCTCAAGTGAAATTCTAGTACCGATTAGGAATTACTAGCCCACGTTCCATAACACTACTTCACGACTCAGCAAAAAAAAATTAAACAACAATAACAAAGTGTCCAATCCCATCCTCTGTATTATAATTTTGTGTAAAATGGGTCAATAATTATTCAAATATATCAAGAAGACTTAAACTATTAAAAAGATAATTTGCTTCACTTAATTGTAAACTTGGGCCAGCGGTGGCGAAATCGGTTAGAGCGTGGGCTAGCATCAACTACACCCAGGTTCGCTGGTTCGATTCCAGCTACCGCCAAGCCTGACATCAGGCAACTTTGATGTCAAATTTCCACTTGGAGTTATAGATCACAATATAATTCCAAGTGAAAATCGTCCTTCGTGGACATAGTTGCATCATACAATCATATGCACACTCACTATTAGACATGAGAGCTAATATATAATAACCCCACACATAGGAAAAGGATGAACCGATGGGTTGCTTCTCATATCAATACCTTAGGTCATAAGTCATACACAAAAACAGCTTATAGAACAATAAAAGAGTTCTGATTGCTGTGGAAACAATAAAAAAAAATTTTAAAAAAATGTAAACTTTCAGTTATCTGTTTCCTAAAAAATCCAAATCGTTTTGTAGCCTTTCACCATTTTTCGTATTCGCTTAAATTGGAATTCCTTGAATCTCGATTCATAGGATAATAAAAGCACCAGTTAAAATACTATAAAAATGACTTGAGAATCAATAACGAGCACTAAATTCACAAAAAATAGCTTATTGTTTTCTATTCTCCATAACTATCATAATTATTAATAATTATCTATTTCTCAGTGCCCAACGACTGCTATGAAGAGAACGAAGATATCGAAAAATACGAACCAACATGGGGCAGTTTAGACTCCAGACCAATACCGAACTGGTACGATGAAGCCAAAATTGGCATAATGCTGCACTGGGGAGTCTATTCTGTACCGGACCGCGGTTCCGAATGGTTTTGGTTCAATTGGAGAGGTAAACAAAATGATATGCTTATTTTGAAAAATCATAAATGCATAAAGATTCAACGTATCAAGAACATTTAGTAATATCATACGGATATCAAGGCGAATTCACTATTTGGCCACCTGCAACATTTCTTTTTTTATATTCTATACTATTTTTATCTATACTTGCTTATTTGCAACTGAATTCTTCACTTTTCATTTTTCTAAATCTTGCTGTTTTCTTATTACTTCTAATTTTGTTCAAATTTAATGATAATTTTATCATTGTACATAGAATTTCTTCCCGTGTGAGTCGGGTATGCTATTGGATGAGCTACGATAAAGATTTGTTTTTGACGATAATTATTTTTCTGTAGTTGCAAATTATTTGAATAACTGATGCAAACTAATACTATTTTACAGCCAATCAAAAGAATTATGTGGATTATATGAAGGAACACTACCCTCCAGGTTTCACCTATCAAGACTTCGGCAAGGCGTTTAAAACAGAACTGTTCGACCCCGTGTATTGGGCGAAATTATTCGAGGACGCGGGGGCCAAGTAATAAATATAATTCTTTGCATATATATATACATATATATATATATATATATATATATATATATTTATATATATAAATATATATATATATATAATAGTCTGCCCAAAGGCAGGTACATGGTATGAGAGCACCACGTAATCAGTGATTACCTTCCCCTCTCTTGTATATTATTCCCATTACCGTTATATTACCATCAATGACCATTAATCACTTTTAATTCATTTTCATGTATTTCCCTTCAAAAATTCTTGCTTACTTCTTCCTGATCCTGTGCTTCGGCTTTCAATTCCCTATATTTCCTCTTCTCGCGTAAGTCATCGACCATCTGCATTTATTTATTTATTTATTTATTCATAAACAAGCCGTAATCAATAATAATAGATATTATTTCAGGCTCTTGTCAAGCTTATTCATGATTAATATTAAAAGGATAGTAATTTACAAACATTACAAATTTCGCTTCTGAAAAAAGAGCTGATAAAAAACATTCGAAAATTAAATACAATGTTCATCATCAAGTTCATCATATTAAAGTCTATTTGACCACCAGTCAAGCTCAAAATTCTTGCACAAGGTTGAAAGTTATACTCATTTAAAATCGTAAAAAAATTAAATTTATAAAATAGCAATAAAATAAAAAAAAAATAAAAAAAAACATGATTGTACAGGTGATCAAATGGTCAGACTATATAGATAAAGGATAAGGATTCTTATTCTTATTCTTCCCCTTCCTTTCAGTCCTACTACGTCGTGTAGAAGGCATTCCTTTTGCAGAATGGGTCCGATACAGTTTCTTTTTCTTTTGAGGATCGTGCTCAGTAGAGTCCTTTCTTCGCCTACTCTTCTCATAACTTCGTCATTAGTTATCTTGTCTGTTCAATTATCTTCATTTGTCTCCAGCACCACATTTCAAATTTTGCAGATAGATTTTGTCTTTGATATAAATATATACTAGGCCCCGCTCTGGACAACCGGATATCGTGCAGTATCGATGTCCATTTTTAATTGAAAATATAGGTCAAAAATAAGTTTCCAATTAAAAATAGCCCATTTCGGGCACTACGGTTTGCGGGAAAGGGAATCATTGATTTGTGATGCTCTCACACCATGGACCAAATATGGAACACCATTTTGTTTTTGGGATATAAACAAACTTCACATTAATTAAATCAGTTTAATGTTTTTACTAATCAGTCATACATTTATATGTAGTAATTAGCAGTCTTTAATCAAATATATTAGTATATATATACACAAAAACCAAAATCACAAATAAGTAACCAAATATGGAATAGATACCTATATATGAAATATAAGTATAAATCAACATAACAATAACAAAAATGAACATTAATATCTTGGTCCATCACAACTCAGAGTTTTCTCTTCACTATCATCCTTATTTTTCTTCTTTTGTTTGTTTCTCTTCGCGGGTTTTTTCTTATTCTTTGTCTTGAAAAATTTACTTTCTTGTTCTTGTTTCTTCATATTTTTATTTTCTCAATCATTTTTTATGGAGAAGATGTTATGACTGTTGATACAGCAGCGTTTCTTCATCTGCTCGATACTTTTCTTCGTTCCTCTGGCGTATATATGCCATATTTATAAGTATTCCATAATTAGACACCAAGGATTGTCCATATTTGAATTTTTATACTAGTTCAAACTCATCTAAATATTTTTTCAAGTCAAAATATTTTAACACTTTCGGGACGGCACCGATTTCAAAACAATCTACTATTCCGACTGTAAACTTGATTTCATTGTGTATGTTATGCAATTTGTTTGAGAAAAATTTGTGACATTGAAGGACATACATTTATAATATTAATTTATTTTTGATAATTTTATAAAGAATGGTGATGTTTAAAACAATTTCCAGAATGCATAGCTGGTTGATTTTGGCATGTTTTACAATAAAATGTTGTTTGCCTTCCTCCTGGTGCTTTTCTGTCAGAACAGACAATTAAATCCCTTTTTCTTTCACTCGCATTTAGAATATGCCACTGATTAGTCAGTATATTTGGTCATTTTTGCTGCCATAATGTTTATTTTTTCTATTATATTGTCTAATAATTCATTTATAAAATATAAAGTAAAATAATCTATTTAACTTATATTGCTTATATTGGATGTCTTATATTGCTTGGTATTTGTAGTCGGGGTGTTTGTTGATATATGTTAAACTCGATTATTGAAGGAGAATCGGCACATTCGCTAATGTCTTCCCGCTCTTCATTTATTTTGTCGAACTTCTTTTTGTTGGTTGGATAATATCATCATCACATTCATCACTATCATCGGTGCGAATAGTAATTTTGTAAAATTTGTCTGTATGAATGTCTATTTGAAACTCATCTTCACTACTGCTTAACTAACAAAATTTACCAGTCGTTTTGCCATATTTAAAAGCGCTCGGTCGCTTTAAATATTTAAACAAAGACCATATAGCAAAGAAAAAGGCTAAAAATACTACTAAAATAATTTAAAATTATTTTCAAAATATAATACTGTTTATCACTGCTATATGTAATTCATTCAACGTTTCGATGCAAACTGAGTCATTGTTTATAAAATAGCCTGTGCCTCACTCAGTATGTTTGTCCACTGAGGTGGACAGCCGTCCCCAAAGTGTTAATGACAAAAGATCACAAAATGGTAAAATAAAAATAAGACCGATATACTAAATAGTATAATACTTATGTATACAAACATAAGAGCAAGTAATAAATAATACTCATTTATTGCTTACCTTTAAAACTTTCTTCACAACAACAAAAGAAAACACCCCTGCTACACGTGAAGCGTCCGCGCAACTGACTCGATGGTGTGAATGCGATAGATAGACCGAATGAAACAAAAGATAGTCGAGTATTGCGTTTATAACTTATAGTCTTAGAGAAATGAAGATATTCCATATTAGGATACAATTTCATATTTGGTGACTTCTGTATTATTTATCATAACCTTACATAATTTTTATTTATTATTGTTATTAAACAGGTACGTGGTGCTCACAAGTAAACATCACGATGGTTACGCCATGTGGCCATCCAAATATGCGTTTAGCTGGAATTCGATGGACTTGGGAGCCCACAGGGATCTGATAGGTAGTAAATAAAAACCACCAAAGTGTATTATTTAGTCTTTTTTTTTTCTAAAATATAGCTTCAAGTGAAAATTGCCTCTCGTGGGTATAGTTGCATATATAATAAAAAATGTCAGCAAATACTTCGAGTATAGTTAATTAGTCATAACTGGATTGGACAACTACTGGGTTGCCATCTATTCAATAATCCATATATATAAAGTCAAAACAATTGCTGAATGTCCTATGTGGGCTCGCCCGTTGCAGCTTGTTGTCAAACAGCATTGACATCGATTTTCACTTGGAAATATAGACAGTAATATGTTTCCAAGTGATAATAGCCCTTGCCCGGCATTGCTGCACCAATAAAAAGTCAACCCTATTAGATTAATTCTAATAACAAAATCATCAAATATGGATGGATTAACCATTGGGTTACCATCTAAAAAAATTCGAAGTAAGAAGAAGTTTCAGCCCAACAGCTCATAGGACGTAAAGTTCTGATTGATGTTAAAAAAAAGAATGTGCTATGTGTGACAGATTGTAATTATAATAAAAAAATCTCTTATATACATCGACCTTCTTCTTCCTTAGGTGACCTAGCCGAAGCAATAAGAAACAACACCGATCTGAAATTTGGTTTGTACTATTCATTATATGAATGGTTTAACCCCATTTATTTAGCCGATAAAGCCAATTGTTTCGAATCGAATGACTTTGTAAACAATAAAATGTTGCCTGAGATGTTTGAACTTGTAACCAAATACCGACCATCAATATTTTGGGCGGATGGCGATTGGGAGGCGAGTGATGCATATTTTATGACTAGAAAATTCCTTACTTGGTTGTACAATGATAGCCCGGTTAAGAACGAGGTAAGAAAATATATCATGAAAATTATACAATTTTAATAGTCAAAATAGAAAAAATAAATAAATATATATAATCGGCAATAAATTGAACGATATTGTGTTCTTAATAGTAGTTAACCGTTGGTTAACAGCATTATACTTGCAATATTTCAGCTAATATTTTATAAACCTATTTAGATAATATTGGTAATAAAGTACCAATTACAATAAAAACTATAATTAAACTTTAATTATTCTTATAGATTGTAGTAAATGACCGATGGGGTGTAGGCATCCCCTGCCACCACGGGGGCTACTTCACATGCCGAGACAGATATGACCCAGGCATGTGAAATCACTATATGATTAATTTAAATATTAACTAGTAGTGTAAGGCATCGTGCCTTAAGGCAAATTGCTGGAACTGCCCGTACCGGAAACTAGATTATTAAAAAAGACCTTGCAAAACTATGAAAAAAAAAAAACAATTGTTGAGAAATTTTGAAATTTTTGAAAAATTTTAACTTTTTTGAATTTTTTTTTTTTATTTTTGATTTTTTGAAATTTTTTATTATTTTGATGATTTGGAGTCGAAATATAAAAGCGCGTGAGCGCCGCGTAGACTCTAACGTGTAAGCATTGGTACGAAACTCATATAAATGTACACAAAATTTATACTTATTATTATAATCTTTATAAAATATCTGATAATACGATGTTCATATGTCTATATAATTATCAGTTTTGATCGCCAAATGGCATTATTTTTCACTTTTTTATTGGATCTCGGAAAACGCTGGCCTGCCTTTACAAAAATTTCACCAGTTATTCATTTCGTCAATACAAGTAAAATGTTTTTTGAATGATTTAAATCAGACGCTGAGTTATCTCAAAAACTGAAATACCATTTTTGCACATTTTGCCCCGTATCTCCGAAACAGCTACACCTGCCTTTGCCAAAGATTATTCACCACGTCTTTTTATCAGTAGGAATCGAATGTTTTTTGAATTATTCAAATCGATTGATCCGTGTTCGAGAAATCATCGACTAAAATTTGTATCCGCACGCACACACACACATACATCCATTTTTTTTAAGGTATGCCAAAATGTTCAGAAACCTCTAAAACGTAAAGATATACAAAAATTTTCATTTCTAATTTTTTTTTGCGATTACTATAACTTTTCCTGCGGGATTAATAATTGTTTTAGCTTAGACTTATTATAATAATTAGTTGTAAGTGGCAATTTTGCCTTAAGGCAAGTTACTTAAACTTGCCGACATAAGTTAAATAATGAATACTGAGTCAACAATAAATAAATATATTAATTTATGAGTGATTTATAGAATTCAGAGTTGATCAATTATACATAATTTAAAATTGAACACGTGCCTAATACAACACGGCATATTTTATAAATGCGCGACCGAATAAATAAATTTTAATAAGGTATAATAATTCAACCATTTTCTGTAGGACAATAATGTTTTAATAAGTTCATTAAGACTAGGTGATCAATCGCCACACCAACTACACCTAAAATCAGCGCTGATTTAAAAAAAAAAAAACGGCTCAACCGATCGTATCAAAAAACTAGCTACTACGCAGTGATCAACCAGTTTCATCGGCTGGCTTTTAAATTTTTGCAATTGGTTCCAGAAAACGTCGATAAAAGGTTTAATTTTAACAAACATAAGAAAAACTACTTATTTTTTTTTAATTTTGATAAACCTTTAAAATTAAATGACCTGCCGTAAGGCCGTAATATTTTCAAAGTCGATTCAGAATTGTGGGCTAAAACATGGACAAAATATTTTACACTTTTTTACTAATTACGAAGAAACGGCTCGGCAGATCGCTGCGAAAATAAATAATAAATTATGTTCCTCATCGAGATACATCTTAAATCTAATCTAATTTTTCCATCTAATCTAATTTTTTAAATCGGTTCAGCCGTTTTTGAAAAAACGTCGGAAAAAGATCAAAAATTAGTTCACGTACACACACACACATCGATGCATATACTTTTTCCAAATTTGTTCTCATTCGATTCAGAATGACTCGAAACATAGAGAAAACTTAATATTAGCAAATCTAATTTTGTCGCAAAAACATAAACATCTCCTTCGGGAAGTTAAAAACATATTTATTTTTATCAATGATAGGTGTGCTACAACCTCATAAATGGGAGAATGCCATGACTCTTGATAAACAATCGTGGGGGTACCGCAGAGAGGCCAGATTAGATGACTACCTGACCACCAAGGAATTAATTACAGTCTTGATTCGCACCATTGCCTGCGGGGGTAATATATTGGTAATCATTAGAAGCGTTATTTCAACAGTCATGTCTCATAATACTATAGTTAATTCTTGTAACGATAAAATAATTATTGTAGATAAACGTGGGGCCGACCAAGGAAGGGTTGATAGATCCTATTTTTGAAGAGCGTTTGCGAGAATTGGGCGCTTGGCTGGAAATCAATGGTAAAGCCGTGTACAATACAAAACCATGGGACTACCAAAATGATACATTAACGGCGGATGTTTGGTTCACAACACCCAAAGTAAACAATTCGGGTGAGTAATAACTTGTTCAAAGTGTCATTGTTAACACTTTCGGGACGGCACCGATTTCAAAACAATCTCTTGTACCGGCTGTAAACTTGATTTCATTGTGTATGTTATGCAATTTGTTTGATGAAAATTTGTGGTCATTGAAAGACATACATTTATAATATTTACAAAATACATTTTTGGTCATTTTATAAAGAATGGTGACGTTCAAAACAATTTACAAAATGCATAGCTGGTTGATTTTGACATGTTTTACAATAAAATGTTGTTCGCCGCCTTCCTCCTGGTGCTGTTCTCTCAGAACAGACAATTAAATCCCTTTTTCTTTTAGAATTTAGAATATGCCAGCGATTAGTCAGTATATTTGGTCATTTTTTTGCGGCCATAATGGTTTATTTTTTCTATTATATTGTCTAATAATTCATTTATAAAATATAAAGTAAAATAATCTATTGGATGTCTTATATTGCTTGGTATTTGTAGTCGGGGTGTTTGTTGATGTATGTCAAACTCCGCTCTTTATTTAATTTGTCGAACTTCTTCTTTTTTTGTTGGTTGGATAATATCATCATCACATTCATCAATATCTTCGATGCGAATATTAATTTCGTAAAATTTGTCTGTTTGAATGTCTATTTGAAACTCATTTTCACTACTGCTTAATTCACAAAATTTACCAGTCGTTTTGCCATATTTAAAAGCGCTCGGTCGTTTTAAATATTAAAAAAAGACCATATAGCAAAGAAAAATGATAGAAATACTACTAAAATAATTTAAAATTATTTTCAAAATACAATACTGTTTATCACTGCTATATGTAATTTATTCAACTTTTCGATGCAAACTGAGTCATTGTTTATAAAATAGCCTGTGCCTAACAGAGTATGTTTGTCCACTGAGGTGGACAGCCGTCACCAAAGTGTTAAATGACATGCCGCATGACATGTCACAAAAACATTAAACTACTGTACTTACCTTTGAAACACACTGATTTTAAACACAACACTGATCTTAAATTAGATATTAAATCAAACATTTAATAATTACAAATACACAATTTCTGTTCGTTATTTAGCTGTAATTTATGCATTCATGGTGGACTGGCCAGAATCTAACGTACTAGAGATCGAAGTTTTACACCCGTACCTTTCTCCCAGGTGTACAGTGAGAATCCTTGGCGAACCACAAGACTCACAGGTACCAACTTAAAGAAAATGTTAATACAGTGGTACCCTGACATAAGAGTTTAACTCATTCCACAACCACGCTCGTATCTCGAAGCAATTGTTCACATATAAATACATTGAAATACCATTAATTCGTTCCAGCGCTGCGATTTTTATTTAGTTTTTTTTTAAATATTAAGAATTAATTTACTATTTAAATTAGTTTATTAACTTCTCGTACTTGTTTATCTATGGGATAAGTTATTGTAATCGTCTAAAAATCGAAATTGAAAATTTTTACATTTCTTTAAGTTTTGAAGGTTTTTGAACATTTGCGGCATACCTCAGAAAAAATGGATGTGTGTGTGTGTGTATGTTTGGATACAATTTTCGTCCACGATTTCGGGTGCACGAATCAACCTGCCTTCGATTCCTATTGATAGGGAGATGTGCTGATTAGTTTTTGTATATCGAAAATAATTCAATTTTAATTCTGGCTAATGTTCTAAAGCTTACTTATATTAATTATATTAACTTTGCAATTCAGTTTATATAATTTTAATAAATATTAGCCAATGTCCTTCATTTTAAATTCGATTGATTGAGTTTTGTTTATTTAGTTTTCTGTAAACAAATATAAGTTACTGTATTTGAAAAATAATCTTTTTAAATACATTTAAAATTCCTCGAACATTTCATTACGGTACGGGAAGTTCTAGCAATTTTCCTTGGGGCACAATGCCATACTCCTAGATTATTTTTTCCTCACAATTCATGATACTGAGGAAATGACATGTTTCGTTGAACAACTCCATGGTTAAATTGTTGCAACTTTTTCGGGGTGATTTTTATCCACAAACCTTTAGAGTTTAGAAAGCTGCTTATAAATTATTGTAATTAATTAACTTTTGTTTAAACACATGTTATCTATCATGTGTTATGCTCATATTTTAATATAATTTTCACACTTTAGTTCCATTTTTTAGACATATAGTTATAAAAATAAATATTTTGTATAACTGCACAATCATTATTAATGTATAGTCAAAATTTCAAACATTAAAATAATCCTCAGTAAGTTGTTACTATACAATTAATTCTATTAACAGCTCATTTATTTCTATGGTACGAAAATCATTGTTGCAACTGACTAAATTTTTAATATTCTCATTTTGTTACTATTACTCGCTCAAAGCTTGTATCTTAATTTTTGCATGTATGTCAAAGCAACAAATCATTCCTTTGGCAGCTCGTATCTCTAAATACTTATGTCAGGTCACTCTTAAGTCGGGGTACCATTGTATATGATATTATTACTTCACTATTTTGATTTTCACGACTCTCATTTTAGTGGACGCTTACTTTGGACACCGTGCAGGTACTATTGCCCAGCTTAATTCACACTCAGTCAACAAACTGTTGGGTCCTGGCTTTCACATGTATTTAATTTAAATTTGTAATTATAATAATGACTATATAATATGTTAATATAATTATATATAAAATCAAAAAATTTAGAAATGAATACTGCATATTTAACAACTACTTGATTTTGTTTTAACTTTTAAGTTTATTATTAAAAATATTGCAAATTTATAAAAATCATCATATAACAGTATCATATAACAATTAAAATGCATAATACATATGTAACAAAATATTGCCAAGACATAATTCATTCTCAATAACGAAGAATAACTTCATAATTTACAGTTGAGCCACTTCATATAGATAAGCACCCAATAATTTTGTCTGAAATTAAAAAATATTTTAATCCTTAATATTTCATTCTGTGCATTTGAAAAAAAAAACCCTGACTCAAAAATACTTACTCCTTCAATGTAGTTACGAATATCTATTTTCTCATTTTGAGAATGAGCTCCATCATCACAGGCTCCCATTGGAAGCAAAATGACATTTTTACCCGTAGCTTGTTGAAGTGTTAAAGTGACTGGAATTGAACCTCCTTCACGAGTCATATCTGGCTCAACCTGTAACATTCGCAACATTCATATAATCATATTCATTGATTTAATTTAAGCTACATTCATGTTCATTCTAATATTTGATGTGAAAATATATTTTGACTTTACGATTCTTTTTTTATTTAATATTGATAAATTACCTATCATGTTAATAACTAACTATATAAGTGTAACAATTTTACCTTGTACACATGTTTAGTAGCTTTTGCTCCAGCTTGGTAATGTGGGTGAGAAGGATCCTCAGTCCATGGTTTGCCGCCATGAGCCATAGATGCCTAAACAGAAAAATTCATTAATCGTTAAAAACTTACTATATATTCAAAACTTAAGGAAAAAAATATTACCCTCATTTTATTTGGGCTTCCTCTTTCTTTCCACATTTTGTTCAAATGCTCTAAAACATATTTCTCAATCTGTTCTGGTTCTTGATTTGGCACAATTCTAATAGAAAATTTGCCATTTACTTTACGTGGAATTACAGTTTTTTGCCCAGGCTCACTAAAAGCACCTACAAATATAAATTTAATTAATTGATTAAATAAGAGTCCTTATAAAAATATGTAATTTTAAAACCTTCTATGCCATGAAGAGACAAGCTTGGATATCTCCATCTATGCATCAAAATGTCAGTTTTTACATTATTGTGTAATAAACATCTGCTACCAATATCATTTCTGAAACATACATTCATATTTATATTATATTGCATATAATTATTTTTCAAAACCTGATGATTTTACATTAAAATTTTAATCAAGTATACTATGATCATTTAATCTGATAAAGTATAATTGAACTCACCTGAAATCATCAACTTCAAAATCAATGCCTTTATATATTTCATGTTCATTAGGCAATAAAGGTGCTACTTCATTATAGAGACCCGGGATCAAAATTTTGCCATGCTTATCAACTAGAGTATTCATAAGATAAATTAAATCAGACATTCCTTCGGGGCTGTTTGTAAAAAATTATATAATTATAGAGTTCAATATATAAATATGATCCTTGTTTCATAAAATAATTACACAGATCCACCAAAAACTCCACTGTGAAGATCTTTTGTTGCACATTCGATTTCAACTTCAAAGTAACAGATTCCACGAAGACCGTATGTGATGCATGGTCTATTTTTGCCCAGCCAATAGTTGTCACTAATGCAGACGTAGTCAACATCACCCAAAAATGTATCTAAATAATGATAAATTATTACAATTTCATTCTGTTTAATTTTCATAATATAAATAAATACTTATTAAAATAAATAGCTTTGTTAAATGGTCAGTTACCAAATGTTAACATATTTAATATTCATATATAATGCAAGAAATCTATTTTATTGTTCGTATTTGATATTACTAAGATATTATTAAGTAATTGATATTACAAGTCCTGTGTTGATTCCAGGTTAAAAATATTACCTAAATAATAAAATTCTATAGAATGATGCATGACTATAAAAGAGTGAATCAACCTTTGCTCTCATAAAATGCAACTTGTATTTTGCACATAAATATTCCAATTTGAATTTCAATTCTTATTTCAATATCATGAGTTGATTAAGCTTACAGATAAAAACAATTATGTATAGTTTCTATACCCTATATATTTTAATCAGTTTTTCTTCATGGGTCATGGATGCATAAAAAATACCTTTTCTAGCAAACAGCAAATCATCTAATCCTTCACTACCAGATTCCTCCATGCCTTCAAAAACAAATTTGATGTTAACTGGTAAATCTTGTCCAGTCTGTTGATAAGCCTCAATTGCATGAATCCAACCGATAACGGGACCCTTGTCATCACTAGCTCCTCTACCAAATAATTTTCCATCTTTCTCAGTCAATACAAATGGTTCAGTATCCCAACCATCTTCTTTCAGAGCTGGCTGAACATCTAAATGTCCATACAAACATACCATATGTTTTTTAGGATCCTAATCAGAAAGTTGATATAGAAATATTTAAATTGTAGATAATAAAATAAATCTAAAATCTACATCTATTGTATTTGATCAGCTATACACATATCAAATATCAAAAAAGAAAAATTAAACTATGTAAGTATAGTAAAAGCTTCTTCACTATAAAATTTGAAAAAAAAAAAATGCAATCCGTTTCTTTTCTTTGCGGCTAAAAATTTCTTTTTTCGCGGATCTAATAAGACACATAATAATAATAGGATTCCAATTGGTATCCAATCAAATATCCTCTATATAAATGGACCAATAAAAATACAACTTTGCCTAAAATCTGTTAAACGATATCACCAAGGACTTGGTCATAACTAAGTTAATTATTTACAAACATCAAGAAGTTAATGCCAAACAAATACAGTTTTTTTTTATTTTTCACCATATAAATTATTGTTCCATATTATAGAATATATGATATGGTAATAAAGAGCTTTTTCTGTAATTACAAATAATAGAACTATTTGAATGCATAAAAATAAATAACACTTAATAATAATACTGGATAAATTAATTTACATATAATGCGATAAAAACAATATATAATAGGGATTAAGATTTGGAAAATATTTGAAATCAAAACCAATTGTTATCTCTGATAAGATATCTAAGTAATATAACATAGCAACAAATACACAATAAATAATGTTACAGATAAGGTGATAAGAACTTGATAACTACGGTATTAACACTTTTTATATTGGTTTTATTATGTAATATTTATAGCACACCTAGTTAATTAATTCACATGCTCAGTAGCATATAAATAAGTCACTTTGAGAGATAAAAAAAACAGAAACCAATTAGATAAATGATAAAAACAACAGAATCAAATACATGTGAAATATACTTTTAAAAAGCTAATAAAGTTGTATATCATTCTATTTGAAAACATGAATGATAAAATTTTTCAAACTTAACACAAAAACAATGTAATATTTTCATACTTACATTTCCCAACTGACCCAGCAATACTGGAGGTAAGTCAATAACTCTGCCGTCTGGAAGAGTTTGTTTTCCAACATCTGCTAATTCTGTGGTTGCGCCGAGAGCCTTCAATCGTTGTTCAGCCCATTTAACCATTTTAACAACTTCTTGTCGACTGTCTGCCCATGCCGACACTGATTTGATTGCTACAGCTTCAGATAATACATCAATGTACCTTTTCTTATTCTGGTCGATGTGGCTGGGGAAAGAAAAATTATTAAGGAGAGGAAAGACAATAATAGATGTAAAACCTTCAAGATGATAAAATACAATTTTGAACAGAAAAATTAAGATTTTTTAAAACCTATGAAATGGAAAATGAATTTTAAAAAGTTCGCATCACAAGAAGTATGATAATTATTAATGAATTGACAAGTAGGCGCAAAGTTTTAGTCAAACACAATTTTCAAAATACCAAAACTTTATAAATCCATCAAAATGAAATCATTAAATAGATTTGTATGAGTGCTGTGATTATTTTATTATATAATACAAAATTAAATAAGAATTAAAGACAAAAATAGTTATATTACCTGAACAACTTTTGAAGTGGCTCTGGCAAAGACATATTTCTTTATTTATAAATGAATACTTCCCAAACTACAAAAAATAAACATATAATAAATAAATTTGTATGTATTCAACGGCATATATTATATATAAGTACGCAATAATAATATTAATTGCATATATAATAATATTAAGTTGAAATAATAATATTAAGTTTAATAAAAACAAAATAAAATTGACTTAATTAATGACATACCAATTGCTTTACAGTTGACAGCTGACTCAAACAATGCCACACGTCCGCACTTTCAACTCTCAACAAAAATAATCTGACAATACAACAAGAAGCTAAAATCCAATCTGGCATATTTAAGCTCGATCACACAGGGCCGAATTGGAAAATTATTGTTTTTTTAAATGTTATTTTAATAATAAATATTTATTGTATTCTTCTATAATATAACTTAAATATCCTACAGATAAACTTTTAAATATTTTTAAATAATGTGTTTCATACGTTCATACACTACCCTGCAAAAGTTTGTTCTCACTTGGGAAAATCGTTTTTTTTTCGTCACTTTATTTATCGTTCTCCTCAGACAGTTTAATATACGTATTGATATAGAAAAACATTTTAAGAATGATTTTTGATCGTTTTTTTTTTAAATTCTCATTTAATTATGTAGAAATATGTGAATTTTCAAGATATTGTAAAATGTACAATGTTACAAATTATCACTTTGAATTACATGAACTATTTTTTTGAACTCAAATTAATTTTTATTCGATGCATCATTATTTAAAAACGGCTGGATTGTTTTTTTTTTCGTTTTTTCTAAAAAAAATCAAAAACATCACTTGTAAATATTTTTAACTCGTAAATTAAATGCAATTCTCAACGAATCTATTACATTAAACTGTCTGAAAATGATGAATAAAAAAGATAACGATTTTTCTAAGTGAGTTCAAACTTTTGTAGGGTTGTGTACGTATCTTATATGTAGTATTCGGGCAAATCCATTAATAAAATTTTTAAACTACTATATTTGTGCAAATTCATAAGAAAATATTTAATTTTAAAATTAGATATAAAGGTAGATAAATAAGCATAAGTTGAGTAGAAGTTAGTAAGTAGGAGTAAAATAGCAAAACGAACAAACTTCATAAAAGTATCAGCATACAAACCCATAGACCTAACAATTATCTATAAATTATAATGCATATGTACATAATATGGTAATATATATAAGGTCTATGTATATAAAAAACACAATCGAATAATTTACAAAAATATTAATTTTCAGATTATAATTTTGTCAAAACCAATTAATTTTACAAAAATCCATAAAAATCGAAAATATATATGAGATATAAAAAGAATGTAATCATAGATAAAAGATGAGTATAAGAGGATAAAGCAATGTAATTATATGAGATATAAGAATGTAATTCTGTTACTTAAAATTTTTTTTATCTGTTATGATATTATTAATATTGTCGAAGGCAATTTATTACCAAAACATTTTTTACACCACAGTGTAATTCAACTCTGTGTTTCGATCAAAAGTTGAATGCGCTCCTGGTCAGAATAATACAGTAAACAATTAATGTTATCTTGTGTATGATAAGTTTATTCACGCCCATATTACTCATCATCCATTTGACAAAGAAATTTTCCATTATTTTGATTAACTCTTGAATATTCATAAGTGCAAATCATTGCAAGTATCATAATACTAAAATTTTATTATCATTATCACAAAACTATTTCTGTGCACGAACTCTCTTTTGTTTTATATATTATTAACAGCAATCAGAAATTAACAGTCCTAAAAGCTTGTTTTCATGAGTTTTTAATTGTCAGCAACCCAACGGTTGGGCTATCTATCTATCAATAATTATAGCACTTTAATACTGATGATTGTTTATTGGGCGCAGCAATGCTATTTTTACTTGGAAACATATTTTCAGGTGAAAACCGATGTCACTGTTGCTTGATGCAAACCAACATACTGTTCAAGGCGGATATCGAATCTGGAACTTATGATTGGAAGCTCATGTCCCGGAACCAGATTTTTTATTTTGCATATGTTTTCAGAATTTTCATTCGACAATTTATATGTATCAAAATTACTGAATGTCTTTTTTATTAGTAAAGCTGGTTTGTAATTTATTATATTTTTTATAGAAATATTTATAAAATACTATATAAATAATTACTAATTCAATCAATTTTCATCAAATTTTCAAAAAACTATTAAACTGAACATAAAATATAAAACTGAAGATAAAATATCATAATTTCTGTTTTTCTTCAATTTTGATATAGTATAGTATTATTACTCTTCTTCTATGATTCTATGAATCTATGAGTATTATCAATAATTATAATTAACTTTTCGTAGGGTAAGTTCTAGTAATCGCAAAAAATCGAAAATAAAAATTTTTGCATATCTTTACGTTTCAAAGGTTTCTTAATAATTTGGCATACCTTAGAAAAAATGGATGTATGTGTGTGTGTGTGTGTGCGGATACGAATTTTCATCGACGATATCGGGAACACCGATCAACCGATTTGAATAATTCAAAAAGCAATCGATTCGTATTGTTAATGAGGCATGCTGATTAGTTTTTGGTAAAGACAGATTCAGCCAATCCAAAGATACGGGGCAAAAAGCCCCGGCAAATCAGTTTTTAAGAGAACGGAGTGTCCGATTTTAATAATACAAAAAACATTTTACTTGTATTGACAAGATGCAAAAATGTTGCAATTTTTTTAAAAGTATAAAAAAATGCCATTTGGCGGTCAAAAATGATCATTAGACATATGCACATCAAACTATCACATACTTTATGGAGATTTTAATAATTTTAATAACAATTTTGTTCACATTTTTATGGGTTCCGTAACGTCGTTTGTACGTTAGACGGCGACGCGGCGCTTAGGCGCTTCGATATTTTGTCTCTATGCAGCTAAGGCAATGCAATTGTTTTAAAAAGTTTAAAAAATTCAAAATATTTCAAAATAAAAAATGTCTAAAAGTTTTTTTTCCAAAAATTTAAAATTTCTCTAAATAATCTACTTTCTTCAAAGTTTAAAAAAAAAATAATTTTTTTTAAGAAAAATAATTTTTGGTACGGAAAGTTTCAGCAATTTGCCTTAAGACACAATGCAATATACCACTAGTTTCTATCAAATATCGTCTATTATAACGCAAATACGTAGAATTTCAATAGTTAAACAATTTCAAATTCAAATCTATCCGCCAAAACGTAGTCTCGAAGTGTTACCCGATGATCTCTTAACATTTATTCCCCTAGATGGCAACGCTGCTGCCAAATTTTACACAATCGGAAGTTGACATGTTCCTCTGAGAAATCTAAATATTCTTTCTTTTTCTATGTGCGTTTGCGAGTAGATACTCGATCAATGTGAGTTCTTCAATTATCCTAAAATATATTGTTCATCTGTTTTTCTAGTTCGTAAATTTATAATTTTAAATATGTGGGTGATATTTTATCAATGTTATTTTTGTGAAACGTGAATGTATTACATTGATATTTTAGTATGGAACGTGTTGTATGTTTTCGTATGACACTACCGGAATTCTAAGTTTACGTGACAATAATTACAATTTAATATAATACACTATTAGCTTTCATACTTAAATCTGCAATTGCAAAAAGTGAATAGTGCATTTTATTAAAATTTTCAATTTTGATAATATAACCTCAATTTTCTAAAACCCAAATAACTCTAGTTGTAAACAGCTGCAACTCAATCTGAGGGATTAATTTCATTACTTATTCTTTTCTGGCAGATGGCACCTACGGTTAAAAAACCAGAGACGGCTGCCGCCGCAGCACCTGCAAAAGGTTCCAAAAAGAAGCCTCATGGCACCCCCAGAAATTATGATTTAGGTAATGGAGTAGTGAGGTTCTCAAGGTCTCGTACCTATCACAAGAAAGCCTTATATAAATTCATGGGAAAGAAAACAGCCAAGGCCGAAACACCAAAGAAGCCAGTATCTGTTGAAAAACCAATTGGTGGTGACAAGAATGGTGGTACCCGTACAGTCAAGCTTCACAAGAGGCACGGACTCTACCCAACACAAAAGGAGTACGTTAATAACAATAGAAGTAGTGATTTTGAACTTGAACTTCAATTACATTATATTTTTATTTTAGAATTGCTAAGCACCCATCTAAGAAATGTTTCCGCCATCACAAACGCCATTTGCGACCAACTTTGCAGCCTGGTACAATTTGCATTGTTTTAGCTGGACAACATAAAGGAAAACGTGTAGTTCTTCTTAAACAGTTGGACTCTGGATTGTTACTTGTTACAGGTGAGCAAAATAACTTGACATCGTTGTACATTAACTGTTTATGATCTACAATTAACAATCATACATATTTTAACTGTATTTTTGGTAAATAAGATGTTATTATGCGTCACATAATGCAGTTAATGGAATATTAATAATTAGACCATTCAGCATCTTGTGATTCGTAATTTTAATAAATAAAACCAATTCCTAATCAAACTATACAATCCAGTTAAAATTTCAATTGTATTAATGCAATGAATATGTCAATCATCTATTATATAGTTGTAAATTCAGTTCTTATTTTCGAGTGTATTTCATTTTGATAAATTGTATTACTTTTGTTTAATATGTATAGCCGCTTTCATAAATTTCATTTATATTTTGTTGCTCTTTTAGTACTATATAAAGTTATGGGCATTGTATAATGTTTTATTTATTTTTGTAGGTCCCTTCTTAATCAATGCATGCCCATTGCGTCGCATTTCCCAAAACTATGTCATTGCCACCTCTACCCGATTAGACGTTAGTGGAGTTAAATTACCAGAACACATCAATGATGATTATTTCAAAAGGCAAAAGAACAAGCGTGCAAAGAAAGAGGAAGGTGATATTTTTGCTGCCAAGAAAGAGGTAAGACTCAATGTCCATATACACCTAAGTCTGTTTTTACACGGTCTTTTTGTACACGGTTTTGATATAACACGGTTTGAAAATTGAATATTTTTAATTTTTTTACACAAATTTATTCCATTTAGCACGATTTGAAATTTTATGTACCTAAATTTTTTTTGTCAAATTAAATTTTTGCGAAGTATGTTCATATCACAAAAAAGTATTTATGAAAGAAAAAAGTCTGAAACCATCGATAGTATCGATAGTTTGCCAACACTAGCTTAAAGATTTAAGTGAATTCCCCTTTAGCGCGTACAAACAATTTTTACTGGTCAAAGCAAATGTGAATAGCACTAATTTAATTCTTGTTCTTAAAAATTCTTGTTTTTCACCAATTTTAATAGGTTTTAGAGATTAGGAACAAATCACCCATTTTTGTATAAGATCAATGTCTTTTTTTACACGTTTTTTTTTTTACACGGATTCTTCTGGAACCAATCTCCGTGTAAAAACAGACTTAGGTGTAATTTGAAATATGATAACAAAATATCATAAAAAACGAACTAAAATATTTATATTTTAGGCTTATAAACCAACTGAGCAAAGGAAGAATGACCAAAAGCTTGTAGACAAAATGGTTTTAGGAGTAATCAAGAAGCACCCAGACCACAAACTTTTGTATACATATTTGTCAGCTATGTTTGGTTTGAAATCTTCCCAATATCCACATCGTATGAAGTTCTAAATACTATATTCATAAAATAAATTGAACTTCTCAAATTGTTTAGTGTTTCATTTTGTAATAGTTTTATCTTTTACTTCCAGGCCATAGTTTTAATTAATAATTAAATGCTTAAGTGAAGTTTAATTCAGAATTATATTTGAATGCTTGAGTAAAGCTCAATTCTGAAGTATGAGTATGATCTCTTAAACTTTTTAATGGCAAGAGAATGCTCCTAAGTCTTATTTGTAAATAAATTTAGGTTTTTGTATAAACCTATCACAAGGATTACCAATTTTTTGTTTGTGTAAACTAACATTTATCATTTTTGTATGCCTTGTGCAATATCAAAATAAAACTAATAGATTGTTTGACTTTTAGGTGGTCAAATTTGAATAAAATTGTCCCATTATATATGGAGACTTCTTCCACTAACGAAATGCACATAAGATGTTCAATGAGTTGTTTGAATAGTAAAAATGTAAATAAATACCATCCGTTACATGAAAATTATAAGAAATTAACTGTCTTGTTTGTGATTGATTAATATATTCTAATAACAATCAAATCTTTAATTATTAAATGAAAACTAATGGCTATATCGCGAAAGTCCCCAATGGATACAACCATAATTAAATGAATTATTTTTCTGCTTTCTTATTATATTTAATTGCGAAACTCGTGATAAATAGATGAATAATACGTGTGAGGCAGGTGAACGAACTTTTTCAAACATGGCTTCCATTCGCGGTCCTTTAACTCCACCTGATGGATATTCTAGATTTAATAATGAAATTAATAATCCGACAGTGTCATATGGATCTAGCAATATCAGTGAGTTATTATTATTTATATTTATTTTAAAAAAATACTCATATTGTCTGTTGTAAAACATTAAATTGTGTCAGCTGTTGAACCTTCAGTGAACTGTCATGTGTCATTTTCATTCGGGAAATAAAGCTATTTCTAACTTATGCAGAATGTTTCTTTTACTTATTTCGTTATCTTAAAGTTAATATGTTTTCGGAAAATTATCACATAATTAAAATACAATCGCAGTTTTGATCTTGTGTTTAGGTTAGGACCAGATGACAGATAGAACAAACAATATGTAATATCATTAAACATTTGGCGTATTTTTATCTATATTTATGAAAAATTGTATAGAATAAATATATTTTTCAATATAAAAGCTTATATTTCATGTATCGTACTACTTTTGGATTAACTGAATATGAATTATAGGTTATAATGGATCAAGCAATATGTCGCATTATTATGTTTTTTTTTAATTATTAACTATAGTATATGATAATTTTATTGTTAGGCTCAATGTCGTTTTAGTTAATTTTTTACTACTAACCACGTATCCAAATAAATATAAATACATGGTGTTTAAATAAATATTTACAAAACTAGTGGGGTGCTGGAACTTCCCGTGCCGCAATTAAAAATCTTGTTACGGAACCCAACACGTTATTAAAATCTCTATAAAATATCTGATAATTTGATGTACATATGTCCAATAATAATTTTTGACCGCCAAATGAAATTTTTTCAACTTATTTTTATTGAGAGTCCATAACCGCTGAACCTGCCTTCCCAAAAATTATACCAGTTGTCAGTGCTGGATTTACCGTAGGGGCAATCGGGGCTACTGCCCAGGGCGGCAAATTTTGGGGGGGCGGCAAAATTTGGACAGTGAGAAAAAAATTCTATACAATATAAGAAATTTTTTTTAACAACATTTTTTATTTCAAGAAATATAATTAACAAAACATAATACGATTGCAATGCAAAATTTGGGTTGAAATAAACGATAACTAAAATTTATTATTTTGCCTTGCCATTATCAAATTGGTTAATAAGTTATCAAATTTGGCAGTTTGGCTAATATAAAGATCCGTAAACAAGCTGAAAGTTTTGGAAATATATGTTCTTCAGTTCTCGAGCCCTCTTAAAATGACGTATTTGTGCACTTGGAAGTGCTTATAGTGTCAAAAAAAAAATTTAAACTAGTGACTCATGGCATTGTGCCTTAAGACAAATTACTGAAACATCCTGTACTGAAAATTACATTTTATAAAGAGCTTTAACATTTTATAGAAAAATGAAAAAAAAGGCTTCTAAAACACATTTTTTGTATTTTGAAATTTTTCGAAAATTATGAACTTTTTGCAAAGCAATCGCGCTGCGTAGCTATTTCAGAGGAGAAATATCGAAACTCAACTACCATTTTCCGTAACTGCCTGTACCAAAAGCTAATCAGCGCACGTCTCCCCATCAATACAAATCTAATATTTTTTAATTATTCAAGTCGATTTCGAGAACACGAATCAACCGATTTATGATTCAATTCCTATTGATAATGAGACATGCTAATTAGTTATTGGTCAAGGCAGGTCCAACTGTTTTGAAGATACGGGCCAAAATGTCAAAAATGATAATTCAGTTTTTGAGAAAAAAGCGTCCAATAACAGTAAAAAAAATTACAGAATAAATAACTGCTTAAATTTGTGGGGGGCAGGTTTAGCGGTTTCGATGATCCAATAAAGAAAGAAACATTTGGCGAACAAAAGTGATCATAAGACATATGCACATTAAATTATCAGATATTTTAAAGATATTATAATAATAAGTATAAATTTTGTTTATATTTATATAAGTTCTGTAACATTGTTTATCCGTTAAATTGCGACGCGGCGCACTCGCGCTTCTATATTTTGTCCCTCGCAGCTGAAGCAGCGCGATTGCTTTAAAAAGAAGTTCGAAAGTTCATAAAATTTCAGGGATGGGGCGGCATTTTTGTCAGTGCCCCGGGGCGCCAAATTTCTAAATCCGGCCCTGCCAGTTGTTCATTTCGTCAATACAAGTAAAATGTTTTCTGAATTATTAAAATCGGACGCTCCGTTCTCTTAAAAACTGAGTTGCCGTTTTTGGCACTTTTTGCCCCGTATCTTCAGATCGGCTAGACCTGTGTTCACCAAAAACTAATCAGCATGTCTCCTTATCAATACGAATCGATTGCTTTTTGAATGATTCAAATCGGTTGATCGGTGTTCCCGAAATCGTCGACGAAAAATTGTATCTGCACACACATACAGTTAATAAATGACGATTAGTGGTTTTTATACATTTTTAGTAACCCCCAAATACAAATATTTTGAAAAAAGTTTCAAAATATTCATTATTTTTATTTTTTACTTATTTTTCCGTCTTTTTCATTGCCAACGCACATCATCCGGGTGTTCCGGAATTACAGGAAGTCCCGGATTTTCATAGACGTAGCTAAACGGAACTTGTTTTTTTTTTTAAATATTTATTAGAAAAATTGTTAATACTTCTAGCATAATTTATTTTCTAGAATAAAATATTTATTATATCAATAATAATATTTAATTAATAAATTTTCGAATATTGGTAAAAATCATAATTATTATCTCTTACTACCTTAATATATCATAACTCAAATTATCATGCTAATTACTATTACATATTTGCTAACTATTGCAGTAGTACTTCGACATTTTATTGAATAAGGTTTTCAAGTTATTTATCTAAGATATTTTAGCTGGCTTATAGGACATTATTTATATATCTTATCAAGTCAATAAAACGATTGACCGCAAAATAATCTTCGAAATTTCATCTTATCGTGTCTAATATTTAACTCTATAATTGTACTAGTCCAGTTATTACAGTAAGTTCACCTCGGAATTCGAGATACCCAGCTGTAAGTCTGTAAATACACCCTAAAAGTTGTCTCAAAACCTACATATGTTGCGTACACCCTACCATATGAAGGTTTTGAGACAACTTTTAGGGTGCATACATGTATATACAGACTTACAGGCTGGGTATATCGAATTCCGAGATTCTTACCTGATTTAAGCTTAAATGACTGGACTATAAGTGCATTTCACAAAAGGTAAATTATCAAATTTAAAATGTTGCCTTCCTTTGCGATACTAACAGTAAGATTTGGATTGCTTTCATTAAATGATACATATTTATCCAATAATTTTACAGTTAATTTTGCATATGTTAGACTTCATCTTATCGTGCCTAATATTCAACTCTATAATTGTACTAGTCCAGTTAATATAGTAAGTTCACCTCGGAATTCGAGATACCCAGCTGTAGGTCTGTAAATACACCATAAAAGTTGTCTCAAAACCTACATATGTTGCGTACACCCTACCATGTGTAGGTTTTGAGACAACTTTTAGGGTGCATACAAGTATTTACAGACTTATAGCTGGGTATCTCGAATTTCGAGATTCTTACCTAATTTAAGCTTAAATGACTGGACTATAAGTGCATTTCACAAAAGGTGAATTATCAAATTTAAAATGTTATCTTCCTTTGCGATACTAACAGTAGGATTTGGATTGCGTTTATTAAATAATACATATGTATCTAATGATTTTAGAAATTGATTTTGCGTATTTTAGACTTGTTATAAATGTGCTTTTGAAAATTCTTCCATCATTATATCTTCAGTGCTTACAGATAGCACACGTATTCTCTTTGTAAAAAAAGTTAGTTAAACTCTGAAAAAGATTTAACAATTTTAATGTTCTTATTATGTAGTGTAGTTATATACTGTTTTCTTATTACTTTAAGATAAGCAAAACGTAAGTACGTTTCACTTTTTACTTTTTATATCAATTGTAATACGCTATTTTTGCATATTTTATTCTAAAATTTATTTATTTTCACTGGGTGAAGGTCAAGTCTATAGTCGAAACGTAAGGAGTAAGACTTTCATATTAAAAATTTAAAAGAAATTTATGTTTATATATATATATATAATTCTCGTGCCATGTTGTTAGTGATAATACTCCTCCAAAACGGTTTGAATAATTTTTATGAAATTTTATAATTATATTCAGTATGACTAAGAATGGGCCAACATCTATTTTTCGTAATATTAAGTGGTGAGGATTGGACACCCTTAAGATTCTTTTTTATTTTTTTGACAATTTTTTTTAAATTATATTTAAAAAGCACCCACCTCCCTAAATTTTCGCTCTTCTTGGACAAACCCCTATTTGGTAATAGTCATTTAAGTAATCGAATGATTTTTCATCCCGCTTTCAATCACTAAATGTTTTTCACCGAATTTCAATTCAGATTTTCTTGAGCACCACCCATAATAAATCAAAACTTTTTTCATCATTTTTTATACTATTTTTTGGGGTAAGGCGTAAATAAATATCCCTAAATTTTTAGACTCCTAGCTCAAACTCCTATTTTTTATCCTATATTTTCAGCCTCCTAGCTCAAACTCCTATTTTTTGTTCTATATTTTCACCCTCCTAGCTCAAACTCCTATTTTTTGTCCTATATTTTCACCCTTCTATCTCAAACTCATCCTTCTTTTTTGCTATTCTAGAAAATTTCTAAAAACACTTTGCCGGGTGAGGTAGTATATATATACATATTTATTCATCTATTTATATTTATATATGAAGAAAATAGTTACTACTTTCCAAAAAATCTTGCAATGACTAGACATCTGATCCCAGCTTAAGAAAGTTACCTTATTTCCATATGTTGTCAACATTTATTATTGTAATCTAATTTAAATATATTATATAATATATAATATAATTCTATATAGAATTTGTGAAAATACCCAATATTTGTCCATGTATACGAATCTTTCATTTAAATATATGTTTCTAATATAAATAGAAACCCCCCATTAATCACGTGGGGCTTAAAAAGGGTAGTTTTTAAAAAGATATTTTTTTTATTTTTGCTAGTTTTAATAATCAGATTACACTAAAATCTATAAGTCAAAAGTGATGGTATTGAAAATCAAAATCAAGAAAAAAATTGAATAAAAGAAATTAAAGAAAAGAAATAGAATAAATAAATGAATAAATATTAATAAAAATAATAGTATTAATAATGAAAATAATAATCAATAATAAATAATAATTATAAATAACTTGTTTGAAAATTTTCCTGTGCAGAACAGAGAAAATTATGTTGTGGTCGGTTTATTATTATTTAGCTGTCCTAGTAAGATGTAACGTGTATTAATTATTTTCCTGAATTTAAAAAACTCAAAAATTTTACGATTTTTTCTAGGTACTAAAAATACGTGTGATGTTGGTTGGGGGATGGGGTTTAATTTTAAATATCACCACGTGACACCAACGAGGAGGGAGGTCCAAAAATCCTTAAAAATCGATCACGTGATTAATGGACAGCCCCATATTAGAATTGGTTAAATTAGAAAATATTGAATCTTAGGGGTTCATCTATTTTATCTTATTAGGCTTTGGTAATGACTTGAGCAAATAATTAGCAATAATTTAAATTACATATAAATTGTCGTTTATACATCGTAGTAAAATATTAAGTCTGTAGAGTAGAATTAATTAATTCTCCGCAAATTATAAATTTTACGACTATCAAATAATTTGTTCAGTTACAATTTATTAGACCTTATTTTTTAATAAATGTCCAAACTGCAACAAAAACCTAACTTCGTTCACCGACATAACCCCGGCCAACGTCTTTTTTTTTAAACATAGAAATTTCTATTTCATGCAAACTAGGTTGCCAATATATGCCTTATCTTATCTGTGTAATATCAATAAATATGTTTGACACAATTGTTCACATATTTGTTCGACGAATAATCATATATTTATTTAGTATAATATTAATATTCTTTTAGATCTGCCTCTCAACGGGGACACCTCCACCATGGGCAGTAGATCTAGTCTTAACCGCGACTTGACGGGCTGTGAAAATGATAGTGACTATTGGGAAATGAATTATCACGAAGCCGCTATATATTTAGAGGTACTGTCATAATTGATACTTCATACATTTAATTAATTTACTTATGGTAAGAATATATCTTCCTTTATTGAATTTTTTTCTTATACATATATACAGTAATAGCCTACTTAACGCAGGATTTAAGTTCCACCAAAGGAAAGGAAAATGGATAGAAAATTGGATATGCATTCAATTTTATAATTGTGTTATCTTCTATATATATAAAAATAAGTCGGGTTTTCCTTCCTGACGAAATAACTCCAGAACGCACGAATCGATTTTGACAATTTTGCATTCATTGGAAAGGTCTCAGGCTCCGCAAGGTTTATAGCTAAGAACATTAGTGGTGCATGGCATTGTGCCTTAATGCAAATTGCTGTAACTTCACGCACCGTAATTTAAAATTCGAGTAATGACATTAGTGAGAATTATCAGAATTATGCTTGGTTAAGTCAACGAGCAATTCTTGCCGCAAAGAATAATGATGTACACGCACTGAATTTCACCATTCAATCAAAAATTGCTGGTGATTTGGTGACATACCAATGATTCCGACTGGTCTTCCGTTTGACTTCAAACGATTGCAATTTTCAGTTCGCCTTGCGTTCGCAATAACAAGTCGCAAGGCCAATCGCTTAGTGTTTGCAGGATAAATTTCAAATATATTATTTATAAAATCATTGTTTTTCACATGAGCAGTTATACGTTGCCTGTTCACGAGTTGGAAAACCATCGGCTTTGTTTGTGTTAACGTCAGACCAAAAAACAAAAAATGTGGTTTACCAAAGAGCACTTGAATGAAACGGATAATTTGCGGATTCACTTTTATTTACTTAGAGAAGTTCAGCTAAAAAACACTTCATTTTTGTAATCGAAATAAATTCATTACTGTTGTATAATAAAATCAAATTTTTCCTTTTCAAATATAAAACAAACAAAAAATTTCTTCATTTTTCTCACGAAACCATCTGGTGGCGAAATGGAGTTCGTCGGGATTGCTAGTTTTTAATAAAAATTAAACGACATATTTATTTTGTAGCAAGAGATCAGCAAGTAAAATTGTAGAATTAAAAAATGGCTTTAAAAATACAAAATCTTCTAACCATTGTCAGAGATTTGTAAAATGAATTTCTTTTTCATCCTGGCTCTGGTAAAGTTCTTTGCCAAGTCGGTTTGAGTGATCTTCGAGGCGGCTTTTTTATTTTTCATACGTGTGAGTGATTTCGTATTTCAGCGTTTATTGTGCTGAGATCGGATGCTTTGCGGATCAACCAATTTGGGACGTACTTTTAATAATTTATTTGACGTCTTTGAATTTTTAGAACGTAAAAAACAAATAAAAATTTAATTAGGACGGATCACTCACTCTACTCTGTTTACAATTTTTTGCCTTTTTCAAAAATTATGTTTTAGAGCATCTCATTAAACGACGTACATTGAACTCCTATGAAAATTTGAATTATTTTTAACAAATTGATGCATAATTTCAGTAAAAGTAGTCACATATCCATTTTCAAACACCATTGAATATTAATATTTTTGTGTTCTTCTTGCTTATTTAATTGCTTATTAATTGTCTCAAATCATCATTAGAAAGGTCTTTTTAGATGCTCCATTAGATCACCATTAAAAAGGGGACTAGTTAGCATCTATTTCTTGAATTATTTCTTCGACATCTACATTAATCTCATATAAACCGGTGTATTTCACTAATTCCATATTTCTATTACTATTTCACCTATATTTCGTAGAAACCATGAGCGCTAAACAAAGCAGCGTTAAGCGGGGTATTAAATATCATTAAAATTATATGAAAAAAACATTACTATATATTATCATTTCGATTATAATTTATTTTTATTCAAGGAAATATGTTACAGCTATTTTAAATAAATAAATAATAATGTCGCTTTCATATATCTTTAAATGGATCACCCTATATATTTTGTTTTAACAAAACTGTTTGCGCAGCTTGTGGCAATGATTTTCTATACTGCATTTAATTTTATGCTTTATAATTAATAAATATTATTTTCTTACTAGGAGGGTCGTAGAAATGAAAAATTTGACGCTCACCCGCGACACGTGTCCGCATTACCAGCCTATAAGCTTGTACATTCCACATGGTATCACTTAGTAGATTTATCAGCTGCCATAGCTCTCCTGGTTTTAGCTGTAGCAGAAGAGCCTGCAGCAGAAAGATTCAGAGTAAATATAAATAATAAAATCAACCCACCTTATAGGATATTTTGTATAAATTCCTTTTATTATAGGTACCTATAGCAGTACATGGAGTTTTAGAACTTTTAAATTTGACTGTGATTGGTGTAATGTTATTTTTAAAGCTGAGATGGATTGGTTGGAAATCAATACTTAATCACAAAAGGACCATGATAAAAGTGATTTTATTTTTATATTCAATTAATATTATTGAATGAATAATAAACAAAGTTATATTTTCAGGGAATAACGTTAGGTGTGATGATAATAGAAGCCTTAGTTGTTATTTTGAGAAGTACATCACATTTCAGAGTAACCAGGGCTTTTCGACCAATGTTTCTAGTAGACACTAGGGCATGTGGAGGAGTTAGACGATTTGTTCGACAAGTTCTTCAATCAATGCCTCCTATTTTGGATATGTTAGGTATTTAAATTATTGTTGTTTTTTTATTTTTAGCGCTCGGCCCGAAGGCAGGTTCATGGTGTGGGTGGAATACCACATATCATTGATTCTCTTTTCCATTGTTTATTATTACTACTACTATCATTCACGTTTTTATACACTTTTATACATTTTTCTTCCCAAACTTTTTTCTGTGCTTCAGATTTTAATTTCCTGTATTGTTTGCTTTAGTCCTCTCAGACCTATATTCTATTTTACCTCCAACTAAGGGTACGATCTAGTTTTTTTTCATTTTCATGATCATGCTCAGTAGAGGTTTTTCAGCACTATTTTATTTGTTATCCTATCTGTCCACTTTATAGCCTTCATTTGTCTCCAGCACCACATTCCAAAATTCTCCAGGTAGTTTTTGTTGGTCTTTCCTTTTGTCCACGAAAAGTTGCAATATTTAGCATATACTCAAACTAATTCAAAGCAAAACTAAATTTTAATTTATCAATTATTATATAGAGATTCAACGTTAATGTTCTTTATTTATAGGACTATTACTATTCTTCATAACAACATACACCCTCGTGGGATATTTGCTATTTTCTTCACATATCGATCCGAGACATTTTGGGTCGTTGGGCGACAGTTTTGTTAGCATGTTCGTCCTTCTTACAACTGCAAAGTAAGTCTTTGTTTATTTACACTTGTTTTTAGATATAAAAAGTTCCGTTACATTCATGAAATATCATATTTCAATCGCTTGAAAATACTTTTTTCTAATTTTGGCTTATATTTCAGTTATCCAGACGTGATGATGCCTGCTTACTCATACTCTTGGTGGTATGCGATATTTTTCGTATCTTATTTAGCGATTGTGCTTTACGTCTTAATGAATTTGATGTTAGCCGTTGTTTACGAAGCTTTTACCAGAATCGAAAGAGACAAATTTAAAGCGTTGTTACTGCATAAGAAGCGAGCTTGCGAACTTGCACTTCCTCTGCTTCAGGAGAAAAATGGAAATGGCATCAAATTTGAACATTTCAAAGGAGTTATGAGATACTATGCACCATACAAAAGTATGTAAAATACCATAATTTTTGAACATAAGTAGAAAAAAAAAAATTGTTATTTAAAATATTTTTTTATTACAGGGCCGTTAGAAGTTTTACTTATGTTTTTGTCTCTGAATACGTCGAATACCGGTCTTTTATCTCCCAAAGAATGGCTTGGAGTTTATGAGGCATGTATGCTGCATTGGAAGAGGCAGGGCGATTCATTGCCGTGGTTCTACACCGCAGCAAAACCGCTCAGAATTATTGGAGAATTGGCGCAGAACATCGTCAAAAGGAATTTGTTCGAGATCGTAATATGTAAGTTGTTGAAATGTATTAATAACTAAGAAGTTTATGTTTTCGCCAGAAATACGATTTTTTAACTTCCCGAAGGAGAAGTTTATTTTTTCGTCAAAAAATCCGATTCGCTACTTTTATGTTTTCTCGACGTTTCAAGCCATTCTGAATTGAGACCAAATTTGGACTAAGTATGTGTGCGTGTGAACACATTTTTTGCCGAAAATCGACGTTTTCTCAAAAACGGCTGGACCGATTTCAAAAATTTAAAAGCCATTCGATGTATTTCGATGAGGACTAGCGTTTATCAATTTTGCGCGAAGATCGGCCGAGCCGTTGTAAAAGTGAAAAAATTTTCGCCCACGTTTTAACCCGCAATTCTGAATCAAAATTTTGAAAATTCAAAAACTTTGTTTTAAGTGATTAGTTTTAAGTGAAAAAAACTGATTAGTTTTAAGTGAAAATCTACCAAGCCGTTTTCTTGTAATCAACTGTTGAAAAAAAAATTTAAGCCGATTTTTATGGAACTTTTTTTAGGCTATATATACCATGGTCTTATAGATCTTACTGAAATATTACGGCCTTACGACATGTAGTTTCATTTTAATTAGTTTAAAAAAATGAGTAGTTTTTTTTATGTTTGTTAAAATTAAAATTAGATGATTTACTTGGTATAACGATAGAGTACTTGGTCTTAATGAACATACTAAACCATTAAAGTCCTACGGAAACTTGTTCAATTATAAAAATGATTGATTTTTGATAATTTGCTTTTAGAAAATACTCCGATTAATGTGTTCGTTCGTTTTCAATAATGTGTAATAAATCCACTCGGAATACTTTTAATCACTCATAAATTAATTTATTTTATATTTATTAAGTCGATTATTTTGCCTCAAGACGAAATACCAATACCAACTACTTAAATTTTATTTTTTCTCGATGTTCAAGTCATTTTGTTTGAGAGCAGACACTTTGGAAAGTGTAAGTGTGTAAGCCAAAATTCGACCTCTTGTTGAGTTGCACTGATGTTATAAATTTTATGGATCTTGATATGGAATCGCGTTTCTTTAAAATGAGCAGATAACTGCAAAAATTTTCGCCAAAAATAAAAATAGATGGTTGGGAATCGTCCTGATTAGCAATTTTTATGGAATTGCATTGTATATGCAATTAATTGGCAGCAGACAAAACAATAAGACACGAAATCTTGATATGTATTAAAATATTTATCAAACGGACAAAATATTTTGTCCTCAATTTTAACCATTATCATACTCCTGATTTGAAATATTTTCAATTTCAGATTGCTTATTAGTATTAAATGGTTTGTGTATGATTTTTCAATTATGGCGCGGAGTCGAGCTCTTGAATTCCGGCCAAGCAACAATTGAGGACGTCGCTACATATTTTGCAGCGGATGTGGACAGCGCTATTTTTCTAGCAAGTAATGATCATAATTATTATAATAATTTATGATTGATAAAAGCTCAAACTAAGCTTTTAATTAAATTTTTTTTAGTTTTTACTCTTGAGGGTATGATTAGAATGCTGGCGCTAGGAAGTAATGTTTACTTTGCATCCGGCTGGAACGTGTTCGACTTTTTTGTGACAATTTTAGGAGTGATGGGTGCCCTGTTCATGAGGCTTGACCCAAGTTTAGTTGCATTAGCAGTTCTTAGACCCTTGAGGTGAGATTTTTTTACGAATTGTGAACTAGAAAACATTTGTAATTGTACGGATTTTCAGACTGATGCGTTTATATAAACTGAAGAAAAGATATCGAGATGTTTTTGGAACATTGGTATTGCTTTCGCCTCTTATGTGTTCAGCCGCCCTAGTCATGTTAGTTTTGTACTATTTCTATGCAATAATTGGAATGGAATTATTTGCTGGTTATGATATGAGAAATTGTTGTGTGTAAGTAAAATAAAATATTTTACATATTTATATACAGTGATACCTTGACATACAAGCCGCCAAAATAGCGATTCGTTGCTTCGACATACGAGCGAATAAGAGTTTTCTCGTAAAATGTTAATGGCGAAAGAGAAATATGAAAATTTTTGTCAGTTTTAATAATGATTTTCCCACTATAGTATTTTATAGTCATTTCTATTATATATTATATTATTAATTGTGAATAACGATTTACTCAAGTAAATTTATCGGGGATTATTTTAGCATTTGAAATTTTAACTATATATAAATAGTTAGTACAGTTATATATGTTGAGTTCGCGTTTTTTACTTCTTACAAAATTTACAAAATATTATTTACTAAAATATGAGGATAGTGCCAATGTACGAACGTAACATATCATAGATATATACACCTAAGTCTGTTTTTACACGGTCTTTTTGTACACGGTTTGAAAATTGAATATTTTTAATTTTTTTACACGAATTCCATTTAGCACGATTTGAAATTTTATGTACCTAAATTTTTTTTGTCAAATTAAATTTTTGCGAAGTATGTTCATATCACAAAAAAGTATTTATGAAAGAATAGTATCGATAGTTTGCGAATATTAGCTTAAAGATTTAAGTGAATTCCCCTTTAGCGCGTACAAACAATTTTTACTGGTCAAAGCAAATGTGAAGAGCACTAATTTAGGGGAATTATTATTAAAATAAACATGAATTCTTGTTCTTGAAAATTCTTGTTTTTCACTAATTTTAATAGGTTTTAGAGATTAGGAACAAATCACCCATTTTTGTATAAGATCAATGTTTTTTTTTACACGTTTTTTTTTTACACGGCTTCTTCTGAAACCAATCTACCGTGTAAAAACAGACTTAGGTGTACTGAGTTTAAACAGAAGGAGTAATGGTATAACTCCATCTGAAGGCCCTACAATAATTATAAGCAGCTTTCTAAGATCTTAAAGATTGTGGATAAAAATTACCCTGAAAAATTTGCAACGGTTCAAGTGTGGGAGTTGTTCAAGGAAACATGTCTAACTCATTTCCACAATATTATGAATGGACAGGAAAAAACAGTAATTAAATTAAAAAATAGTAAATTATTTTTGAAACATTTGAAACGGTTATGAAACAAATTGAACTCGTACGAGTATGTCATGGTGCCATTGTGTATGTATATATATATATATATATATATATATATATATATATAATGATTTTCTATTTCTCATTATACTAAAATTATTTTTAGGAATACTTCAGTAGAAGATTTTTTCAAATATTCAGCAAATTCATCTACGCCACTAGGATACTATTACTTAAATACTTTTGACAATATCTTAAGCAGCAGTTTGACTCTTTTTGAATTGACAGTTGTTAACAATTGGTTTATTTTAATGGATGGTTACGCATCAGTAGCAGGACAACCGAGCAGATTATTCTTTATGCTATTTTATTTGTCGACCATGATTGTATTAACAATTGTTGTAGCTAGTGTCCTAGAAGCTTTTAGGTTCAGAATACAATACAAGAGAAGCACCAGCAAAAGAGAAGGTAATATATGTTTTAATAGAAAAAAAATACTAATTTTGAAAGAAAAAATTGAATATGAGGTTGTCTGTATTTATGTTTTATAATTATATTGAATTTTTTTCCATTTTTAGAGGAAAAAATGTTGCATGTTGAAGTACATGTAACATGGTCAAGACTAGCCGGTCTATTAACTTATCCACCGGTTTTGACGGAGTTGGATGATACTAATAATGTTCACTTAGGCATACAGACTGAAAATGTATGTTTTACACTAGTATAGACATCAAATAATAAATGAAGTAACTTTTTAACAATTTAATTTCTTTTCAGGCACAAAATAATACTACAACATTTACTGGTTCGCGTCCTAGAACTCGTGAAGTTTTCCAAAGAAGAATGTACAGTACAGAAATTAAGCAGTGGCTGGAAGACACGCAAATGAATCATTTGAATGATATACAACAAAATGCAGCCCCGAACGAAACCATTGAACAACCGAGACATCAACCTACTGATACAGCAAGGCTTATTGGAACCCAATAGTAAGAGAAATGAGATTTTATAGTTTTATAGTGCAAAATTGATCTAATCAGACATAATCTACTATATTCTTTTCGGAATAATAGAAAATAGTAGTGACGTTTTTAATAGCTTGACATATTATTATTTACAAAACCTTCATAATTAAATAATAATTTAAAACATTTGGTCATCAGTACCATAATATCGTTCTAAAACAAGTTACCTTAATTTTAAGTTTTAAAACTCTGACTTATTTATTCTTATTTCAACTACTAACGCAGAATTTTAATTGAGTGTTAATATTTTATATACTATAACTTCTATAGCAATATAATTACTTATATCACTGCTTCTATTTAAATAACTTTAGATGAATTATAACAAATGACATATTTAGACAATACCAAGTAATTTTTATGACTACATTTTACGAAGAAAATTTTATACAAATAAATAATTATTTAGACACAGTAAAAAAAGTACAAAAATCAATTTCAAAGAAAATTTTTTTTGAGTCTTTTATTGGGCATAACTTTGAAACTGCTCTTCCAAGAAAAAAAGCAGTTTTGTATTATATGAGGAATATTTGAAGCAAAAGTAGGTCTAATTTGATATATCTATACCAAACTTGATATTATATAGTGTGATGTTTATTTATCGAATTGTTTAGGTTACTGAAAGTTAGTTGTTGAAATATCTGTTACAAATGACCACTTTTTTTTACTAACGAAAATGTGATCTCGATTGTACCATTTTTCAATATGCATTAATATTAATTGTTATATGTAAACAATTCTATTTAGACTAATTAATAACTTGACCGTAAACCAATTCGTAAATAACACAATATCAAAATGTGTTAATTACTTGTATATATAATGAAAACTATTTTACATATCTATAAGTATAACAATCATAACAATCATAACACCAATGATGGTTTATAATTCTTTTTTACTATTTGATTTTGATTTATCGCATTCCTTGGTTAATACGCAATAAAAAGTTTTTCAAAATTTATTAAAAATTTTAAAAAAGCCTTATGCATAATATATATGAATATTTCTTTTTTGACGTTAAAGAAGTAATCATTATATTTAAATTGTATTTAGTATAATTTCATTTAATTTAATTAAAAATAAATATCAAAAATATTGATAAAAAAATAATATTAAGTACTGATCTTATGTTTTTTAAGACATTCAATGTAAGCTAACAAATATTTTTGTAATACCGCATGCACTTTGCATTATGGCATATATTGAATGAAATTGCTATATAAAAATATTATTTTTGATTCACAATAATAAAAATTGTATTAGCGAAAGAAAATTGTAACAAGCTAGTCAAGAGCCTTCTCAAATAAATATACTTAATATGATTGCACTAATTGGGTAAATAGTTACAGTTTTTCACAAAAACAATGGAATAATTTAATTTAAAGAAGTAAGAATATTTAGTGAATAAAAATATATAGAAAAATTCCTATAGCTTTATTGAATGCAAAGCTGATAAGTTTATTAAAGAATAGTAAAATGCTTATTTTTTGACCATAAAAGAATGAATAAGGAAATAATACTTAAAATAAGATCTTAGTGAATTTTAATTTATTATTATAAACTAAAGCATTAAAGTTGCAATAGTATGTAAAAAGTAATGAAAGCTAACAGATTAACTGCAAAAGATCACATAGAAAACCATTTTTCTATGTTTGCTTTTAGTCATTTTACCCATCATAAATTTCTAAATCTCCTTTTTTTTTCACTTTCAAACATAACAAGCAAATGTTTATTTAGAAAACGCTTTCCTGATAATTTATAGTTCAATTATAAATCAAAATTTAGTAAATGTATTTTTAATTTACATGTATATAATAATAATTACCTGTGATTAATACATGTAAGTAATTTATATAAATAAAAAAATATAAAATGTATACAAGGTAGCCTAATAAAGTATTATAATATAAAATATTGAACCGTGTTTTTAATTTTTGTCACCGATATATTTTTACAGTTGTTTATTAGATTTTTTATAGTAGCGCAAAAAAATTTCTGTGTGTTACCATAATCAAAATATCATAAAATTGGCACTTTATTAGTGAAAAAAAAAACAACTAAGTTTTAATCTAATACAAGTTTCTACTATTATATTTTAACAAAATTATTTGATAACCTGTACAGCTAAATCAGGTATAAAAACATGAATAAGCAATAGACATATTTGTAATTATAAAATAGTTTACTGTATCAATCTATAATTAAAATACCCACGCACCTAGATAATAAATGGTATGTCTTGTTATTAGAAGTATTTTATTATTCTATTCTTAACCCAGGGCCTCCGAGTAAGATTCGTTTTGTCGGAAAACCACTATTTTCTAATGCCCGTGTTAGTTCTGTTAGTTTAGCTGGATCACTATCAATCGGCACAACTATGCAGAATCTAAAAAAAATGATAGTGAACTTCATACCGAAATTTTTTGAGTGAGAATCTTGCTCCATCACTAATTTAAAGTAATTAAATTAAAAATTAAAAGTATTAATTTTTGGTCTATGTTGTAAACTGTGCTATGTGAATGAATATTAAAAACTATAGATTTTCAAAACACATGGGAAAATGTCTTTGTACTTTGCAGATTATAATGTATATTTAGTTAATTTTTTATATGTTTTATTCGGGTTTTAAATCCTTTATTGAAATATTGCACAAAATTCTGTGCAAATAGATATCAATTCAATTCAAAATTTAGTTACCAAATTTATATTTATTTATGTTTATATGTTGAATTTGTGTTTTAAAATTAAGTACTACGTTTTTATATTTACATGAATATGAAAATATATGAAATTATGTTTAGTCATATTTTTTATTTTGAACTTACCCTCCGCCGCCTGCTCCTGTTAATTTTGCAGCAACATTTTTATCTTCTGCTATTTGGCAAATTGTATTTATGGAACTATGAGAAACTCCAATAGTTTGCAGAAGCCCTTGATTGATTTTTATGAGCTCTTTGAGCTTCTTGCAATTATCAGGATCATATTTTGATGTTAGGATTTTTTCAGCATCTTTAGCCACTTGATCCATAGCGTCTAGAACACAATTAGCGAGAATGGGATGATTTTCAACCAATGTTCTAACATTGCCAACCATAACTTTAGTTTGTCTAGGCACCAGGGTATCAACTAATAAAGCCTCAAAACCTGTTGGAAATTAATAGAAGTTAGGACAAGAACAATACTCTTAATTAAAAATATGTAATTTTATTATTTCAGTTAGTTATTAAATGAATTATATGTATTACATTTTTATAGTAAAAATGTTTTACCTGCATTAGTTTTATTGACAAAAATTTAATATAAAAAATTGCCTACTATTATCTAACTGCAAAACAGCTAATTCCTCATTTCTTCTGAATCTAACTATTGATCCATAAGTGCAAATGCTATTATCTAAGCCAGAAGGAGTCCCGTGCATTATGCGTTCTGAGCAGTATGCCCATTGTGATATTTCACTCAATTGCTCAGCATTAAACTGGATCATGTCTGAAGAATTTAACTGCCTGAAAATTATCTCTTGTAGAAAACATCCTGCTAAAACAACAGAAAAACTAGCAGAACTGCCTAAACCAGCACCCACTCTCAATGTGGAATCTACATAGATATTGAAACCACTGAAAATAAAATTATGATTTATTTTTAAATAATCGCCATAAATAAAAATTTTAGTAAGAAAGCATACCTAGAGCTCTTGTATTTTTTATATGATCGTATACCAGTCAACAAATAGACAAAAGATATGAGAGCAGGCTTTTGTATATTTGTAAGCTTTTGCAACTTACAATGATTTTCTAAATATTCAACTATCAATTGTAAAAATTTGTCATGATTAGGCATCTGTGGCGATATGTCATCGATACAAGCGTTTAACAATTCAATTAAATTATCCAAATCTTTTATCTGAATTTCGTAGTGCAAATTAATATTTTCGAAGTTTATTTCAATAAAGTCATGTTCAGTTTCCTAAAATAAATTATTGTTTAAACAAATTAATTTACGTCAAAAACTTATAAAAAAGTAATAATTTAATTCATGCAATTCCAATCACATTTTGCTAATGCTAGCATAAAGGTTTTCATCAATGAATCTAAATTATTAGAAATTTATTTTACAAACCCGAAAATTTAAACGAGTTCTAAGTCCAATACTGGCGGCTATAGCAGTTTTTCCATATACAACAGAGTGTTCTCCAAACAAAATCACTTTGCCAGGTGCAGTTAGGGAAAATTTAATCATTTTTCAAAAGTAAGAAATTTTTTAAAGTCTTGAATTTAAATAGATACTAACTGCTGTATAACTTAAATAAATGAAAAAGTGAATGAAGTGTAGAAAAATTACTTCATGATAATAATAAACTAAAAAAATAAATGAATTTTATTAAAAGTAATCTATAAATTAGGTGTAAATCATTGCTGTGCTTTCCACTGCTCTGGCGTAAGTGGTTTTTGGGAAAACGCATGAATTGTTTTCAACTCTTCAGCTAGAGTTGAATTCACCAATCTGAAAATTATTTCATATTTTATAGCAAAAATAACTCATATAAGAGAACTAATCCAGAATTTTATCTCTCAAGAATTATATACATACTTATGTCTAGCCAGAAGTGGTTTTCCTTCAAAAACTGAAGAAACTATCACAGCAGAAAATTTATCGCCACAACCATCTGAGAGATCTACAACTTCCTGAAAAAAAAATTTAGAAGTGATGTTTTTTATTTATTAAGTTCATTGATTTTTATAACACAAAAAAACAAATAGTAAAGTAATAAGAAAAAATTAATAAAAATGAAAATTTGAAAGCCATAGATTTATAATAGAAACTTGATCATTAAATTTGAGATCAAATGAAATAGAAATATAAAACATTTCATCAACATTAAACAGTAAGAATGTTTTATTTTATACAAATTGTTTTAAATAAATTTAGAAACCAAATAACACAACAACTGAAATAAAATTGAGAAACTCGAGTTGCTACTAAAAATTAATTATCTTTTCAAGATTATTATAAGTGCCTAAAATCCTTACTTTTTAATATGACAATTCACAATTCCTATCTTGTGATTCACAAGTTTCTAAATTAAAATTATACTTCTACTTGAGTTTATAAATTTATGAACTCAAAATATGATTGATATTCATTAATTAATAAAATTAACCACAAGATAAACAGCCTTTAAATTGTATTTTTTTAGCAATATATTAGTCATTTGATAATTACATATAACTTTCACAAATATGTAACTATAAAACTAAATCATATACATGTAAATATAAAGTTACATTTTTTCCATTTATGTACACTACATATGCAATACAGTATTTTTGGTTGGTTGTTTACTAATACAAAAATTACCTAATATATTAATAACTAGCATGACAATGGAATTTAATTTACAAAACAATTATTTTTGAAGTTAATTATTATTTAGCATTATTTATACTTTGATATTTTGGTTTGCTGTGGGTGAAAGGTAGATAACGATATTTGATCATGTGTTTGATTTGTCTCTTCATTGTGATACAAAATAAGGTAATAAAGTACATAACTAAAATTGGCCAAAACACAGGCACATTGAAGCAGTCAAAGAATGTACATATTGTAGCTATCACAGTACTTTTCGTAACAGAATACCAGAATTTGAATTCTGGTAATCTTCTAATAAATGGTCGGAACTCTTCATTCGATCTCGTTGGCAATTCAGGACCATTATCATCCTCTACTTCAAATGCTGGGTCAATTTTTGGGCTTAAAAAGGCTATGAACAAATTTAGATGATATATTCCCAATGCATAAGTGATTATGTACCAGCCTTGTTGCGTAATAATTCGTATTATAAAGGCTAATATTAAAATCAAAGCACCAGCCCATCGCCCTTTTGTATGAGGTGTCCATCGATCAAGAAGGGCTGTAATAAATTATTCACTTATTAATGCCACTCTTTGTTTTGATTATGTAATATAAGCAGTTAGTTCAAATCCCAAAGCTTTTTACTTGAAAAATTACATTAATTCAAATTTTGATTGAAGACATTCTATCCAATTATACCCAAAGATGAGAAACGATTTACATTTTAAAGTTTTTTTAAAACTTAAATTAGAGTTGATATGATCTCCATGTCACATTTTACTCAAATATGAGATGAATTTGATCCCTACGTGTCCGAAGTGCCTTACTACCAAAAGTGCAACTTCAAATAATAATAAAGTATTAAAATTATACCAGTAAAGATTTATTAAGATATAGTTAAAATTATACTGATAATATTCTTTTTTAATAATAACCCTAATTCGAGTTCTTGAATATAAAGTATAAATATAGAAATTGTAATCTGATTACTGATACACACCTTGATAATTCTGAGAAGCCGCCGTCCACGCTTGTGATAAAATATTTTTTCTCGTTGGTTCCTCTTGCATCATATTTTTAATGATTTTTTTGTTCCCTTACAAACAATAATTAATTTCTCGTTCATCAATAGTGAATATATGAATCTGTCATAATACGCAATCCGATCATTGAAAGTATACGACACAAACTCGACAATACTACTTACACACCGATCATACTTCAATTAAAACTCGTCTTTTTTAAAGTAAATCGATACTAAATTAAATAAATATTATAAAATATTATGAATTCATAATTATATTGTCATGTCTTTACACGTCAATGCAACAAACATGTCGGTCAAAATGACCAAATTATGTCATTCTAATCATAGGTGGCGGTGTAACGCCATATGACAAAAAAGTCGGTCAAATTTAAAATTGAGCGGGTAAACATTTTAAAACTTTCATATTTGTTTTTCTTTAAAATCCATATCAGTTTTGCATTTGAACTCGCAACCGTTAGAAATAAATAGTGTACGTACGTATATTTGCATACTTATATCACACATAAACATATAAATGTGAAATATTTATCAAATATATGCAAAATGTCATTATATATAAACCTGGTTGATTTCTAACAAACAGGTTTATATATAATGATCAAAATAAACAAATTATAGAACAAAAATTAAAACTAATTAAATAAATTATGTGAATTAACACATCAATACCTTAATTCTAACAATTTTCTCCATTAGCAATAACTCTGAATTTAAAAAACTTAAATTATGGAGAAGTTAAAATGTATTAAATGAATTACAAATGACAGGAAAGGTAAAAGTATTATGATGCTAATCTTCGTTCTTATCAAGTTCGTATATAGAAATAGGGTGTGAAAGTAATACATTCAAACATTCAACTTTTACATATTTTTATTTACATCTATTTACATCATTGGCACTTTGTATCATTTTTCTTTAAATTAATACAGAACAACTTCACCGAGAAATACAAAAGAAACATTAAAAAATGCAAACACGAAATCACAGATATAAGAAGTGGAAAAATATCAGGATATTTTTCTGGAGGCTTTATTAACACTGATGAAAATGTTAGAATAACAGTGCTAATTATAGATATGTGAAAAAGTAATTTTAAAATCCACGAGCCAGACCTTGACTTTGATCCTTCAGATCTCAAATTCCAAGATAATGTAAAAATATTGTCATGAATATTTCCCGAGTGGTAGATCAAACTATACCACACAAAAATCATTGCATAAAACACATTTAAAACTAAATATATTGAATACAACTGATCTTTGATTAATAAAGGAAGCATACTAAAGCAACTGATGTAAGAAAACCAATATACAAACAATGGCTCGAACTTAAATAATAATAAAGCCGGAAGAGCTGCTAATAGAATGCTTTTTTCATGAACTTGAAATGAAAATAAGAAAAACGATAAGGAAGTTGTAAACAATGAATATTTTAAATTGATTTTGTTAGGATAAATAAACAACATTAAATTACTTGGAATAATTGATATCAATGTTGTTACAGTACATAAGGTTGCTAATTGTTTTGTATCAAATAATGTTCTGAGTTTCACTAAAACATTTACAGCACACCATACGTTTGAAACTTTGTCTTCAAAAATCCCTCTTGCAAAAGGAAATATTCGATGAAGAACTTGAGTAAATATCTTAAGATTCCAGATAAATGGCAGCCAAAGGACCACAAATGTTAATATCACCACTGCACCAAGTTTCAAAACTTCAAATAGTCCACTAATTTTAGATTTATGGTGAATATTACCAGCAAGTAAGTACACAAATATTGGGAAAGCATGGTATAATTCCATTTGTTTGTAATTTAATGCGAACACAAATGCTATACTAGCCTTGTAATCTTCATTTTTCATTAAATAAGCTATTGCTAAAATAGCAAGACCTAAACTAATGTTATTATACTGAAAGTGCCCATTGTCAATCAATATCAAACCAGGATAGAATAAAGTCATAATCAGAGAAGCGCTTTTAATTATTTCATTACTTTCTGCATTTTTTCCATTGGAATACAAGCAATTAAATATCTTAAAAAAATATGTAATTGCTGGTATAAAAATCAACAAATCAGCAACTAGAACTGTGTGTCTCATAAATAGTTTATGTTGACCATCTTCCAATCCTCGAGATGAATGCAATTTGATATAATTTTTATTGATATAAGATGCAATTTTTCCACACAGAAAACTATGATAAGCAGTCAATGGAGGGTAATCAAGGCCCCAATATAACAAATCGTTATCAGTAGAATTCTCATACCATTCTTGAACTTGCAAATTTACTGTTATTTCTTGCCAGTGTCTTTGTGCTTCAAAATCCCCATGTAAGGGGGGTTTGTTTTGGCCTGAATAACCATGTAAAGAAGTAGCAGCTCTTAATAAAAGAGCTACACTTATAATAATAATTTTCGTCAATAAACTCATGGTTTAAAGCCACATAAACAAATATGTTATCTTTCAATGCATTTCTATATATAAATAAATATATTCCCACGTCATCAGAAAAAACTGATGCATATCAATTTTAGGTTAAAACAAAATAAATTGATAGTTGTACTTACAACATGCTCAGCCTGTAGTTGGGTTTTTAATTTTTCTTCCAAATATTGTTTAGTATACGACATAATACGAACACTAAAACTGCACTGAGAAGTTAAAAAACTGATTTAAATTCAAGAATTTAAATATATGTATTCATTTAAATTGCAAATACAAAAACGAGGATAAAAATAACGGGCAATGATATATGAAGTTTGATAATAGGACGGCTGGTAACATAAAAATAAGTGCATTGTTTAGGTGCAATATTTTTATTTCGTGCGGTTAATATTCGGTATTCGGTTTTTGGAACTTGCCGAATATTCGGTATTCGGCATTTTGCCGAATATACTATTCGTTGCAAGCCTAATTATTATATTTGTAAATATTAAGTAATATTTTTATATTTTAGTAATAGACATGCAATTTTTAAATAAATTTTTGAAATGTAAAATTGACGTTATGATAGATATTAGAATTTAGAAACAAGTGTGCAAAAACAACAAAAATGAGTGAATGTCAAAATTTTAAATGAATTGAACACAAATATTGAACAAAATTTAAGGTGAGAAATACATATTTTAATATATACAGATTTTAAAAAAAGTTAGCGATCGCTTAGGGATTTTTATTAGACCCTCAGAGCCCTTACTATATTATGCCATTTTTCGTTTTTGACATATCATATAACATAACCTTTGCTCGTAGATAGTGTTTAATTTAATTAGACAAATAGAATGTTTAGTTTTATTAAATGATCAATAATTTAATTATTTTACTTATATATGTATAAGGTAGTTTCTAATTCATTTATTATCATTTCAAATCATTTTCAGTTTATGAATTAAATTTGTTTTATTCTTTAGGTGCAGTTATATCATCTCATTTAGTAATTATCATTCAAAATAGAGCATTCGATACTTTGGCTTGTCGCTTACACAGCGGCTAGCTTATTATTTTACATAATAGTTTCAATATGGAACCCCAAAAAACCACTGCTAAGAACCTTGAAGAACGCGAAAAGGGTGCTTATTGTTACTGCACACCCAGATGATGAAAGTATGTTTTTTGGACCAACGGTTCTACAATTTAATAAAATGGGATGTGAAATATATTTAGTCTGTCTTTCTACTGGTAATTTCAATGCAAATAAATATAATCCGTTTTATGTTATTTCCATTATTATCATTACATCATTGATTACGCATGTCATTAATCATATCTAAAAAATATTTCTGTATGTTTACTTTAGGAATTTAATTTACTTTAGGAAATCATTCAGACTTAGGTAAAACTAGAAAATATGAACTATATGAGGCTTGTAAAGTATTAGGCATATCGGAAGATAGGATAACTATACATAATGACCAATTTTTACCTGACAATCCAAATGTGATGTGGAAAGAAGATTTAATCGGATCTATTATTATGAATTATGTACAAAGTTTAAATGTTGATACTTTAGTTTCATTTGACAAACAGGGTATTAGTCAACATCCGAATCACAAAGCTATTTATTACGCCATTGCCTATTTGGTTATGGAGAACCAATTACCAAGTTGTAAGTAAAATTAGTTTTTGTAGTAGTATTTTTAATAAATATTAATTCTTGTATTTTATTCTAATTACTTTGTCCTTTGAATTCAAACTATTTTAGGAATAATTAAATTAAATTGTTTTACAGATTGCAGAGCTTATACATTAGAAACGGTTAATATATTTCGAAAATATTCACTGTTTTTAGATATACCTATTAGTTTTTTATCATCTTCTTACTGGTAAGTTTCATTAAATATTATTTGCACAACTGAATTTATTTTTAATAATATCGACAAAATTTTATGGTTTTTATTGATTTGTATTTTTTCCTCAATAATCTATAAACACAAATAATTAACTTACTAATAATGTACAAGTTTGTTAATTACATATGATATATAAGTAGGCAAATTTCATAAAAAAATCAACATGTGCATAATTTATATGAAAAATATCTTCAACTCAATTATTCATTTTTTTTTCATTTATTCATCTTTTTATTATTCATTTAGATGTATGTTTTTTTAATTAAATTAGTTGACATAAAGACAAATTTTGCCAATACACAATTTTATTTTTGATATTAATCTTATGAAAATATATGTCCACTTTTTTACTTTGAAGTTATAAAATTTTGACTATTTTATAAACTTTTATATTTATATTGTACATTTTCTGTGTTTTAGGTCAATATTAAATTGGAAAGAAAGAAAAAGAATTCAAAAAGCAATGAAAGAACATAATTCTCAGATGGTCTGGTTCAGATCATTGTACATCACGTTTTCTCGCTATATGCTTGTGAACACCTTGGAAGAAATTACTTTCCATAATACACTAAATAATTTATCACAAGAAGAGGATAAAGAAAATTAATTTATATACCCAAATAACAAATTCAATTTGTGCCATTATTGTACCAAAGCTTTAATAATTACAGTTTTATAATTAATTATCTATGCTTATTATTATATTTAAGTTGATCTGTTTTTTAAAAACTAGAATAAGATGTTCTAATGTTGTTAATTAAAACATAAGTAACTCATAACAAAATCAATCAAATATTTTAAACTTTGCATTTTTATAGAACCGGAATTAGTCCTGGATTAGGTTTTCTGTCCTTGATTTTCCCAAATTTTTGGAATATGTAGTTCTTATTTTCAACGTTCATTATAAATACATTTTAACTTAACAATTAGTACAAAAGTTATTAGTTAAGTTACAAAATTTAAACCAAACATTACTTAAATTATGTCCTAAATTTTACAGAACTTAAGACAATCGAGAGGGAGAAAACAGCTCAGACGAAAATGTGTTTATAAAAGAATATATTTAAAAAACTACCTTCTCTTCCAGATTTTTTCTCAGATTTGAAATAAGAAAAGGTCACATTAATAGAAAAATTACTATGTAAAATACATATGGTAAACGAGAGAGAAAAAAAGGAAAGAAAAGGTTGCTTGTGCTTTGGCATCATGGACCTATTTTCAAACATATTTGAAATACCACATTATAATTATGCCTAGGCAATATAATAATATTGTCTATGATAATTATGTATCTTTACTTTATAAATCATATAACGCATACAATCTAAGTAAATATGAAAAATATTGTCACAGTTTGAATAAATTAACTAAACTCAATAAGGTTGATTTCGGGCTTTAGTTTATGTTCAGTTTTATCTGCAAAATCAGTAGGAATTTCGCATGTTGATTGATATATAGCATTAACACTGACGCTGTTATCAGAATCATCTTCATCATCTGATATATAGAATTTTGAACCATGTTTTGTGACCTGGCATCCATGTGCTTTTCTGCGTAATGGCGGCAGGGGCCTATTTTCATTCAGCCTGCTGTCACTTTTTGTTCTATGGAGTTCGTTAACCAGTAACCGTGCTCTGAGAAGTTTCGGCGATTTACTTCTCCTTGGCGGATGTGGTATTACTGTTAAGAAATCCATTTGTGGTGTCTCATTACCTTTGTCGTGTGTATCAAATGGGTTAGTTTTACCCCCATCTATTGATCTCGGTCTTTCAGTTCTTATCAAAGGGGTAGGAATACTTCTTGGTGTTGCGGTGAGTTTATTATGGTGTTTATCATTTAAGCTTTTTTGATTATCTCCTCCTGAATTCAAGCTTTCATATAATTCCCAAGAACTGCGGGTAAGTTCTCTTGTAGGACTACTTAATAAAGATTCCGCGTCTTTTGATATATAGCAACGGAATCCTGATTGAGAATGTGGATTGTTGGGATTTGTGCAACTCTCGCTGCGGGATGATTGAAAATAATCCTTGAGGGTATGCAGGCTAATACGTTTCTGTAAGGTAAGTAGTTGCATTCTCCAATATTCATAAGACGAAGTTTTTAGTAACTCAACCCATTCAAGAATATATTCTTCTGATGTCCCAGAAAATATATGTTTTTCATCCCAATTATCCTGAAATGTAATTGAAAACGCGAAATTCGTGTCATTTTGTTCTTCTAACTCTACATGACAACCTTCCAACACCATTATGCCAATAGGCTCTTTGCTATCAGTTTCACCGGTTTCATTTATTTTAAAATAATATAACAAATTTGATTTTAATTTAAACCATTTTTCAACACAATCGGTTTCATTCGTTTCATTCAACGGTCCACTATAATTTAATTTTCCTTCTAAATTACATTTTAAATCACTTATTTCTGCAATTTCTTTATCGTTAAACTTCATATTTAAAAACAAAATGTATTTTTGTACTCAAAACGAAAAACTTACATGAAGACTACATATAAAGGAATGAAAATAAATAGAATTTCCATTATGAAGTCTTATGATAAATATTGTTTACTAAAAAAATTAGTTCTATTGGTGTTAATGGACTGAACGAAGATTCATACATTCACTCGCTCGTTAATAATTGTTTGTATATAATAGAATAATTATAATCTATTAACACATTTTATTATTTTTAAAATGCATGTTATTTCAGTTTTGGATGCAAAGAGAAAAGTTTGATGTACAAATACGCCTCTTATGGAATTTAATTTGGACGTTAGTTACCAATTTACTGTGCAATCTACATGTAATACTAAAATTGATATAATTTCACATTAAATAATCATGGAGCCACATATCGCGTATGAAATCATTAGTGAGAGACTAGATGTAAGTGGCATTCAGCATTGAGGCAATTGCCATTTGATACCTAACTATATTATCATTTTTTTTTGCGAAAACGGGCGAAAATTTTTATAAATTAGAGCGGGTCGATTTGTATGGGTCAAAAAAGTCGCTTAGGTACATATGATTTTCGAATACTAGAGATCAAAATAAGATACTTTGCTTAAGAAACCATACCTCTAAAATGAATTTTGATGTCCCGTGTATTGACCCAAAAAATAAGGGTTTAAATTTGAAATATTCTATTTTGGCCCATTCAGAGTGCCCCAATCGAGTCCAAATGTTTAACCGATCCTCACTAACTTTGAAAGGCCGATTTACCAATGCCCATGGTTTATCCTCAGAGACCCCCCTGAATGGTTTTTCAAAATTTGACCATTATCTTTATGAAAAAAATCTTATTGAAAATATATATTGAAAATTCAAAAGCCATTCGATGCATCTCGATAAGGATTATCGTTGGTCATTGTGCAACGATCGGCCGAGCAGTTTCTTTCTAATTAGCAGAAAAGTGTAAAAACTTTCGGCCACGTTCTAGCCCCCACAATTTTGATCCGATTTTAAAAACTATTCGAAAGATATTGGTTGGAAATCGCGTTGATGGTAAAGATCGGCCAAGCCGTTCCTTCATAATTAAATTTTGAAAATTTTTTTGACGATAGATTCCATAGTCTGAAATAACATAATAAAGTTTTATAGGTCTACTATAAGCGGTTGAATTATAAAAATTTAACAAAGTTTAGAATTTTTTTGCACACTCAAGCGATTCCAATCAGAATCTATGCCGGAGCATAGATTCTGGTTAGAATCTATGTCGGAGCATAGATTCTGATTGGTTGCACGTTTGTACGTTCTGTGGTTTTCCGCTGGTAGCTACTGATCACAGTTTACGTCTACACTTAAATAAAATACATTTTTAGAATGCGAAATGGATAAAATGAAATCAAATTAGTTTGATGTATACAATTGCAGATATTATAAATGATCATTTTTTAGTAAAAGCGAAAACTTTATTTTGGGAATAAGTAGTTAAATTTTTTATCTAAATAGCTACTATAATTCTTGTGGATAAAGTCGCTTGAGGGTAAAATGCTACTTACAACTAATTAAATAAATGTTAGTAGTTTTATAATATTTAACATAACAACGTTTTTTAGTAATCGTCCAAAAATCGAAATTAATTTTTTTTTCATTTCTTCATGTTTTGAAGGTTTCTGAACATTTTGGCATACTTTAGAAAAAATTGATGTGTGTATGTATGTATGTATACAATTTTTAGTCCACATTTTTGGACGCCCAGATCAACCGATTTGAATGGTTAAAAAAACATTCGATTTCTATTGATGGGAAGATGTGTTGATTAGTTTTTGGCAAAGGCAGGTCCAGTGGTTTTGGAGATACGGAGCAAAGAGTGCAAAAAATAGAAAACGAGTTTTTGAAAGAACGGAGCATCCGATTTGGTTGATCCAAAAAACATTCAATTCGTAATGACGGGGAAAAGTGGTGGTTAATTTTTGGCAAAGGTAGGTCCAGCTGTTTTGGAGATACCGAGCTAAATGTGCAAAAAATTGCAGTTTTTGAGAAAACTAAGCATGCGATTTGAATGATTCAAAGAACTATCTGTTTGCGTTAACGAGACGATTGTTTTTGGGAGAAAAATTTTAATTTTCAAAAAAAAAAAAAAATTTAATATTGAAAATAATTTGAATTTGAATTTTTACTAGCTATAGCTAAAACTTTGTAATCAGTTTATATAATTTTTATAAATATGACAATGTTACAGTTATAAATAGGACAATGTTACAGTATTTATAATAATCTATTTGAAAACATTTAATATTTCTTGAATATTTCATTACGGTACGGGAAGTTCCAGCAATTTGCCTTAAGACACGATGCCATACACCACTAGTCTATAATTATTTAGTCCGTTAGTAACTTTTTAATTATATAAACGAAATAAGAGAAACACACAATAATTAAACAAATACTTTTGTTTGGGTGTTTGGATACTATGATTTTAAATTGGTTATACTAATTGTAAGTGTAAGTTATTTATAAAACAAAATTATTTTTATCAAAAATGTCATCTAAATTATAGATATTTTTTTATATTTTTTATTAAAAATTGCTTTTGTTCAATTTAAATTAAGACCGAATAATAATACATGTTCAATAAATCAAATTGTAAGACAAATATTTTCGTATTTGGTCTAAATTAATTTTCAAAATTTTCAAAATATTCGAGCAATGTCAACAAAGCAATATAATGTGAGTTCTACATAAATTTAATCGTATGGAGACCGTTTACCATATGCCGCCAGGAAGTTTGATCAATATCGAAAAAATCTTTAACTATGACGTACGCCCCTTTAACATAATTTTTTAGTGAAATGGCCGAAAAGTTATTTCAAATAGATAGTAATAACGATAATAACGAGAAGCCATTTAGTATAAATTCGCCCTTAAAAGACTTTTTAGAGTATCTTGAAACCGCCTACCTGGTGCATGGGAGAATTGATGGAACTTTATCAGATACGTCGTTAAGAAAACCTATCGACTGGTCGGAATTAGCTAGGAATCGCTTTGTAACCAGTATAGCTGAAATTGTCACAAATGAAGGTTCTAAAAATTTAATATATTATATTTATTAACCATTTATATTATAGTTTCAAATTAGCGCAATATTTATCACAAGGAGTTGTACGAGATGTGATATAATAGTCCAGTAAAAAAAATATTACTACCTTTTACTTCTTTATTACCATAAGAAAAAATTACATACGTATTAAACTAAAATCAATTAAATATTATTTATATAAAAGTTCAAATTCTTACTGTGAAGTGATACGATTATATGTTAACCAGTTATCTGTGATTGACGAATATAATAGTCATGGAGAAGTGGTTGAATTTTGTGTTTTGACGAGTATATTCGTCATGTGTATAAAACAGTGATTATTTGCTATTTAAATAGCAATTTTTGAAAAAATTAAAAAATCTTCTGACATTCATAAATAAGTAGTTGCAAGTGGAATTTTATCTTAAGGCAAGTTGCATAAACTTCCCAAAATGTGGAAATAATATGCTTAATCATTAAACGTCATTTAGTCCAGTCATTTAAGCTTAAATTAGGCAAAATCTTGGAATTTGAGATACCCAGCTGTAAGTCTGTAAATACTTGTATATTGACACTAAAAAGTTGTCTCTAAACCTACAAATTGTATTGGCACCCTACCATATGTAGGTTTTGAGACAACTTTTAGGGTACAAAATACAAATATTTACAGAATTACAGCTGGGTATCTCGAAATCCGTGGTGAACTTACTATAATGACTGGACTAATTGCTTATTTCGAAAATAAAATGTTGGTTTTTCACCAAAAACTAATTAATGCAATTTCCAATTGCTATAAACAAACCTAAAGTACATGTACTTGTACTTATTTAATATCATTTATTTGATATATTCTATTCTAATACGTGTTCTAAAAATATATTTTATTTAATAGTCAACGGTGATCAATACAAACGTAAATGGAATATATCTATACAGGTGAATGTACTAATTAGAAGGGTACTAAGTGTGAACTTTAACAAACTTTTTATAAATAAACTAATTTTTGTAGGCTACTTCTATATATTAACTAAGAAGTAAAATATATAATTTTTTTCAATTTTTTTTACTTGCGCAACTTTCTCAGCAATTGACGAATATACTGGTCATGGCTCGATTATTCGATGAGGGCACCACAGTTAACTGGTTAAATCATAAAATTAATGTGACTCTGTGGGATTTAACTGTGTTTCTAGTTTAATTGCTATAGTATTAATAAAAACTATTTGATATTCATCGTCTTACAAAAGCTTTTAAAATGATTTTAATAAACATTCCAAATAATTTTTTCTACAAATTTGTTGTAAATGATTATGTTATTATAAAATAATATAATATATTTACAATCTAGGGCATGATTGAATTAAAAGAGTTATATTAATTAAATATCCATAAAAGATCCAAATTTATCAATCTGCATATTTAAATCTAAATCCTTATGCTTCACGTAGAAGCAAATAGAAATAAAGATAGGAAAAATGCATTTTCGGAAAATGAAGAATCAACAAGCACAAATATCGATTCTAAAAAAGTGGATTCTGAAAGTTTGCCACAGAAAGTTTTTGAAGCTGAAGATACTCAATCACAAATTGAATCAGAAACTGATGCTGAATGTTGTGAAAATAAAGGTCAGTTGTATTAATTCTGTTAATATAAAATAAAATATTCATTTTATAAAAGTAAATTTTATGACAAATTGTTTTATTTTGACAATGGTTTTAGGAGCAAAACGAAAAACTACAATGCCTAAAGAAGAGAACGAATCTGATACAAAAAACGAAACATTATTTAATTCTATTATAAAACAGAAATTGACAGAGGTAAAAATGCATTGAATTTTTTTTTAATTTAATCTAATTTGAAACTACATATCAGGTGTTGAATGAAGGTCTGCTGGATTCAATTTTACCATATATTGCACCAAACGCGTTTTCCATGTCCAATTTTAATGAAGTGATCGGAAAAACTTTGTTGCAAGCAGGAAATTCAACCAAGAGAGACACCAGCAAAAGAAATACCAATGGTACATTTTTTGTAAAAAGTATACCAGTTTTGATTTTTTTTTTGCTGCATGGTGCGGAACTTATATAAGGTGCCTATTTTAGCTGCAGGTGATAACCAGTCAAATCATCAAATATCTGTTACCAGCAATATATGCAAACAACAACATAGTGTAAGAAGGAAATCCTTAGCCAATTCAAATGCTGCTGGTGATGCTTCTAGCGCAAGCGATGACTTTGACAAAGAGACTGTAGTGATCCATGTCTGCGATGAAAGTAAAAATACTACAAGAGATTTTAGATGTTCTCAGAAATTGCTTGTGCAACAAATGGGTTATTTTGCAGATGTTCAAGCAGGTAAAATTGAATACTACCTAAAATAAAATTAAACAAATAATCGTTATTATTTAATTTTACTATTTACAATTTAGGTCAAAAATTGGAAGATATGGATATATCGGTTCACTGTGATATTAGCATTTTTGACTGGTTAATGCGATGGGTTAAACGAGACCAAAATAATATGGATGATTGGCCTGTATTAGATGCAGCAAATGTTACACCAATTTTAGTATCTGCCACATTTTTACGAATGCAACCGTTAGTACTTGATTGTCTGATGTATTGTCACGGTAATCTATCGGAAGTTATTAGAGCGAGTACTGGTACTATGACTTGTCTCAATGATACAATAATTACAAGGCTAGCGGCCATGTACACCAACATGGAGTTGGAAGCAGTAAGTATAATAATATAATATAAATAATTAACAAGAAAATTAATACAATGATCATTTTTGTCACTATTAATGTGTATGATATAATTATATTTTAGGTAAGGGATAAAAGAGATCGAATACATTCGCGTCTATTCTGCAGACTTATATGCAGTTTAGCTGAACCTGACCCGGAAACTCTAAGAGGGCACTATGCAAGTCTACGTTCTTTGTTTAAGTGCATCAGATGTGGACAATTAGTATCCAGAGCGTACGCTCATCGTATACCGTGCACCAGTAATGTTCCTGGTTCATTACGCTTGAACAAGTAATATTTCTTCTTATGATTATAATTAATAATAATAATAATAAATGGTAGTCTGCCCGAAGGCAGGTCCATGGTGTGAGAGCCACCACAAACAAATGATTCCTTTACTCTTTATCCTATTACCACTATTCCCCCTCTCCATTTTTTTATTTCATGTATTTTCCTTTCCGAACTTTTGCTTCCATGCATTTTGATCCTGTGCTTCGGCGTAAGTCGCCAATCGTCTGCATTCTTCTTCTTCCCTCGACGACGTCGTGCAGGAGGCACTCTTTTTGCAAAAGAGGTCTCCACTTTATTTTCTTCATTCGCCTCCAACACCACATTTCAAAACTCTCAAGGTAGTTCTTATCGGCCTTTCTTAGAGCCCATGTCTCCGATCCCTACAGAACTATGCTCCAGACTTTATTAGTCTCTTCCGCAAGTCGGGACTCTGTTTGCTCCTCAGTATACTGAGTATGCCGCCTTGGCGCTTGCGATCCTGATTATTATAAGTAATACTATATTATAATATAGTATTACTTAATATACTATATACATATATATATATATATATATATATATATATATATTATATATATATATATTATATATATATATATATATACGTATATATATTGTTGTGCACCCTAGTGCTAACAACAAATATGTTGAGATCCCAACACTGGTACCAAATGTTGTGGATTCGCCGTTGCCAACAATTATGTTGCGTCACACCAATGAAGTGAAGACTGATGTGAAGTGATTGAAAACTAGATTAGGAATGAACGGCTGGTTTCGTCATTCTCAAGCTTTTATAACCTCTGATGATGACGTAACCATCCTTCTAGATAGAAATGTTCGTTAGGAATGATTCATTCTTATTTATTTGAGACGCATTTTGTGGTTTTGTCGTCGAAGAAACAGTTACTGACTTGCACGTGCGTGTTTATCTTTGCATACAATGTTGCAAGGCTATAAGCTGTGAGTCAACAACGTATATACTGCGTCTTTCGTATTGACTGTTATATAGAATTTATAATATTATTTATAATTATTACAAAGGGGTGGATAGCACTACAATATATATATATATATATATATATATATATTAATAATATTTAGTTTCAGATACAAAAGTCAATTTATTATCTATTCTTACAGATTTGGTGATTTAGTATCGTCACACCAACGTGATCCATCTTGGACGTTGTCCGATCACATAATGCAACTACACAAACATCTCCGTGCTTGGCGTCGCGTTTATTGGCGTCTTTGGGGCGATTGTCATTATTTAGATTGTTCGACGTGTTTGGTTCCTTTCCCTGTATCTCGTTTTGGATGGTGCAGAGCTCGTCATCCTAGAGACGGTATCAAATGGTATCCAAGTTCCCAAACAGTTGTGACAAATTCAGGAGATGCCGGAGAGAAGATGGGAGCATCAGTCGGAACTTTAGGCGCTACTGGGAGCGTGGGCAGGCACGAATGTTGCGGAAATATTGCGTTCAGATGCGAAGCTTATAAGTGGCCGTCGGTAGGTTTTAGAAATATATTATATTAAATATTTCCTGTAATGTGATAAAAAATTTGCTATGTAAATAAGACTTTATAAATATTTTTATAGAGCTGTGAATACCGTGATCATATGGCCGAAACTAATGATGAACGAGAAAATGCTATATTGCAACTGTACTTAAATATGTCTCAAGTTATTCAAGAAGAACCGCCGGAAATAACTCCTAAAGAAGAGGTGATTTTTTTTCAAATTGAATTTGTATCTTTATCTTGGTTTTTTTTAACACATTGTTGTATAAATAACGAATTAGAATAAATGATATGATTTTTTAGGCTAAATGGTGGTCAAAACTTACTATAGTGCCGGCACGAGCGAAAAGCTTGATCCCTATGTTCCAAGATACTGGTAAGAAAATCATTTTGATTTTTTTTTTATTTAATGCATATTTGGTATATTGATTTTCATTATTTGTTGTAGATTTATTGCGACAGCAAAAGCGTACAGCTTTTTTAAAAAGTCAAATGTCTCGGTAAGTTTTAAAATATTTTTAATGCATCCAAATATGTTTAAGTGGCAATTTACCTTAAGGCTTAATCAATAATAAATCAGCATATATTGATTTATGACTGATTTGTAAGTAACCTTTGCTCTAGAGCTTATAATGTGTAAAACTATTGCAGAATATTAATTTTTTTCAAACTAAAATAATTATTAACTTTCCAATTGCTTATATGAAAGCACTGAATTTTCCAATGAGCATAGTTCAATTAATTAATTGTAATGAATTTTTATTATTTTATAAAAGTGATATCAATTCTGAATCAATATCAAGAAGACACATGACAATGCAGCGCAGTAATACGATACAGATGCCTTCTTCGGATAGTGATACAGATTGCGATGTTATGGATTTTAACGAAGTTTTAAGCAGTTCAGACATCGATTTTGACTTTGATGACACAGAAGAAGGCGAATCCGAAGAAAATAATCGTAAAAAAAGACCATCTACTTTTAAACGTCGCGGTAAGGCTGCCTACAAAAAAACAGTCAGGTGGGTTGATGACAATAATAAGAAAAATTACAGTACTAGACTTTGGTATTCATAAATATGGCATATAATTTACAATTAAACATAAGTATATGTCCGTTTTATAATTTCAACATATTGTTCATAAATAAATTTATCTTAAGAAATCATAAATATACTGTTAACGTTATTTTGCTTTTTTAACTTTTTTGAGTAATTCTCTTATGTTTCAATTTTGGACAATAACTATTAGAATTGCTTCTCAATTCATTGAACGATATTTGATTGCACAAGTTTTCTAATTCAACAATTAAAAAATATTCAGAAATTATTCAAGTGTATGGTCCGAAGAATTATCAGCTAGAAGTAATCAGGACAATCAACGAGAGTATGAGGAAAAAGCCATGGGACAGGTATGTTTGTAATAAAATAACATGCTCATTTTATACTTAAGCATTACTTATTAATATGTTGTACTCAATTTACAAATTTTTAATGCTGTTATATTTTACAGTTGATATCTATGTTAAATAAAAAGAATGGTCTTGACACAAGAAATAGTACTTTACGTCAATACCCCGTTGGTTGGTATTATTTGATATTGATAAAAACCTAATTAAAATTTCATATAAAACATTTAATCATAATTACAGGTGGTACATATATAAAGTTAGAAAATGAGTGGAAAGAAGCTCAAGCACAATGGTCAAATGTCAAGCCTAGAAAAAATAAAGATAAACTTAAGCATTAATTGCACAAATTTATGCATTTATAGATAATAAATCGTCAATTTTATTACATTTAGTTTTTTTAGGGCATATTCATCTCAAACATTGCCAATCAGTATTTGCCAATATAACATTATCAATGCAAATTCTGCTACTATACAAAAAATAGTTTAAAAAAATGTTTAATCTAAGTAACAAATAAACAGAACATGCTAACATTTTAAGTAATTTATTTCAAATAACAATCAACAACATAATATCAACAACTAGATCTACATGGCTAATAAGAAATTGAACTATATTTGACTACATTAGTGAATATCAGTTTTTAGTTAAAGTTGACTTATTAGAAATATTTATGCATATGAAGATGTCTTTAAAATATAATAACATTTATTATGTCAGAACTCATAAATGATTAAATAATGTACGTTGTTCACTTAAATAAAGTAAGAAGAGGTTTGGAATTTTTGAAAGCAATTTATTCAACAAAAAATTGCATGTCTTTATAGAATTATCAAATAAAACAAACATTTGCATTGCGATAAACTGCAATGAACAATAAGATGCCAAATAATTTAAATGTTCTGTGTTTAGTCAATGTAGAATTTGATATCCAGATTACTTTTAGTTAGTATAACAATAAAGTTCTTTAGTTTTGATTGAATTTATCATTCTTGAGCTCTGACATCTAAAAGTCTCATATACACATAACTGATGAAACAACAATTCAATCATACTTTCAAACTATTTTACTTTTAACTTTGGAATGTTATATGTCTTTATATAAAAGCATCTGTTTTATAACAAATAATATGACAGATTTAACACTAATCAGATCTTAAATTATATAAGACAAAAAAGTTGTTCAATTTCATTACTATTTAATATTTATCACAAGAAGAATATCTACCAGATCTGTTGCTTGTGCGATTAAATAAAAATCACAATGGTAAATGAGACATTTCATGCATAACAATTATCCTTTCATATTTAGGTATCACATCTTGAAACAAGTCATCATTTATCAACTAGAAATCAATATTCATTATTTATTTGAGTTAAAAGATTTTACGGTATGTGTAATCCATAGCAAGATCCACACTGTGATCGATGGGTTTTATTATAAGAGGTATAGATAATAATCCAACAGCTGTAGGCATTATTTGAGCCATTTTACCAAAATTACTCCCTCGCATAAATTTGGATGTGTAATGAGTTATCCTAAAAAAGGCAATATTAGCAATAGAGCAGCCATAAAATATATTAATGACATTGAATAGAGATTATTTATTAATGAAAATATAATGTAAAAAAATTAGCATGCAAATAGTTTTGTTTAAATAACTATTGCTTCTATTAAATAACTTATTTTTATACCTGTTTATAGTATATCCTGGTACTATAATAGATGCAAACCCTTGCCATAGGAGTGTATCAACTGCTGATATAATAACATCTTTAGACTTCGATCCGGGTTTCTAGAACAAGCATATATTCCATTTGTAATATTTCACAGAATTATTATTTTTATTTTTATCAAATACTTTTGATGCTTTTTTTGCCTTATCCCATGTATCAGCTAAAACATAGGCAGTGGATACTCCATAAGATGCAGTAACGACAGTACTATTTACCAAAGGCCTGAATGCTTCACCTAGTTCATTTGCATATCCTAAAATAATAAGATAAAGAAGAAATATCAGTACTCATATTCTTCCGAAACACACTAATTAAAAATTTAGTGAATTATTGGATTAAAAATTAAAGATTATTGGATAAATGTACATCGGCACAAAACATCATAGAGCATTAATAATTTCATAACAACGCTCCAGCAATTGCACAGGCTGTATGATGTAAGACTAATTATTATATAAAATTTATGATTATTATATGAAATTTATGACGACTTAATTTAAGTATTATATCTAATAATTTTACCCAAATAACGAATATAAGTATCTCTAAAAATATCACGTTCGCCTGATGGCAGGTTCTCTGGTGAAACTAATACTGGTTCTGGAGGCAATTTCTGATCAGCAATTTCATTATCTTTGGAGTTGTCCATTGTGCGTTTATTACGTAAAAAGCGTACTTCCATCATTTATAACTCAGTAAATACTCAGTCTAATTTAAGCCTTCAATTATTCTAAAAATAATATTAAAACTATTATAACATAACCTACAATTTTGGCATTGTGATAACATGAATTGACATAATCTCAACGTGACGGCAGGTTGCGAAGTATGCAACCATAGTGTAATGAAATACTTATCAGATTCTTTTTTTTATCTAATAACTAGATTTAAATTAATAAATGTAATATGTTAGTTTAATCTTTAAATTAACGGAAATATTAAAAAAAAATAGTTCATATAAATATAGAAAATAATTTTATTATGGTCATTATGGTAACGCGTTTGATTAGCGCGGGAAACAGATCATTCAGTAGAGTTTAGTGTAGTCGACGTATTATTGTGTGGAGTTTAATCAGAGTCTTTTGTAAGAGCTGTTAGTATTTAGAAATAAAGGGTAAAGTGTTGTAATTGACGGTACAGTTTCATAAATCAGGTAATATATACATACATATATAAATATAAATATATATATATATATATATATATATATAAATTTGTGCCAAATAATGTTACAATATTTGAATGTTCATATGTTCATATAACCATATCTATGAGCTTTGAAATTACTCAATGTCAATAAATTACCGAAGCTTTAGGTAATACGCAATTACAAGAATTATGATGTTTGGGTTAATATTATTAAATTTATTTGGTATATATTGATCGCCATATTGAATTTATGATTTAAAAAAAATATATTTTGTTTTTTTACATTAATGTATTATAATATAATATTAACCCAAATATCATAATTCTTGTAATTGCGTATTACCTAAAGCTTCGGTAATGCATAATAATTATTATGCATATAATATTATTATGATCATTTGGTAACATGTTTGATACGCGGGTAACGGATGTTTACGCGGGAAGTTACTTCAGTAGCTCGAATCAGCGAACGATATTCTGTACATGCAGTCATAGACGAACGAACATGCAGTCTATGCGTTAAGGGAAATTTCGATCATTCTTCTTACTTGCGTTATTAAACGTTATTAATAAATTGATGATATATATGATCGCCATACTGGTTTTTGCAATTTTCATATAATTTTTATTTTTATTTTTTGTTAAATATTGTATGTAATTTTGTTATGATATGGTAACACTATTGCATGAACCGCGAAAAACTATAAAATATTTTTTATCGCTGTTGTGGTAACATTTTTGTTTGAACGGATAGGAAATGGAGTTACTTCAGTATAGTTAATCAGAACCAATCAGCACGTTCTTTGGTAACAAACAACAAACAAACGTTGTTGAATCTGGTTGAATCATTGTGAACGTTATATTGCGAGTTGAATCAAAAGTGTCATTTGCAAAAAAAATATAATTAAATAGCGTTGCAATTAATAGTACAGTCAGGTAATATATGTATAAAATATATTATAATCAAGATTTGTTTGCGTATATGTAATATTATTTTTGTTGGTCGCCATATTGACTTTATGCTTCGTATGACTTTGTTTTTTTTTCTCTATTATGTTATTATGTTAGTGTATAATTTATATTTGGATTTAAAATTATTAATTACCTCCGCTGTAAAAGCAAGATCTAGAACATTTTACGGAAGGTATTGGTCATAATGTACTCAGCCACTATATCAATTGGATGACATATCATTGGTATAGAAACGAGACCAATGATTGTAGGAAGAATCTTTCCTAAAGTTTGTATTTTGTACCTTTGAACACACTTGCCGGTTAACCAAACAATTCTGTGAAAAGAACAAATTAAATCGAGTTATCAATGCATTGAACAGATTTAAATATAACAATAAATCACTCGATTTTGATTTGAAAAGACATAAATTCTATTCTATAAATGTTCAACTTGCAATTGCTAAAATTGAAACTTAATTGCACAATATATCGTATATAGTCAAATTATTATGTTTAAAATTATTTATGTTATCTTTATATTATATTTTCATATGAAATTATTTCTGTATATTTTCAAAATTGCAAGCATAATTCAATATAGACAGAAATCGCTCATCACTTACAATAGGTGATTTCATTAACAGCATTTTCATGGAAATGCAAGTTTATGTCCTAATATTATTATCTTAACAAAAGCAAATTTCATTGAAATAAATTTAATAAGCTAAGTACCCAAAAATGATTTTATTCATATTCCAATGCCAAAAAGAAATAAAATATTAAATGCAAAAGAGAATTCTTATACAAGGTTTATATATACTGATCTGTTTAATATATAAAATATTAAATATATTTTTATTATAAATAATACCTGTTAATTGAAACTGCAGGAAGAATTAAAGTAGCAATCCCTTGCCAAAGCAAAGTATCTGCAGCTGTTAAAACTGGTTCTTGATTAGCCTGAAGTTAGGTAAGTTATTTCAATTTGAATTTTAATATAATAATCTTAATTACTTTGATGCCAATTTTTGTTTAATTTCTTTAAAAACTATTTTATTGAGTAGTATATATTTATAATTATTATAGTAGAACATATTATTTCAAATTAAATCATGTAGGGAGTGTGGAGTTTTATCTAAAATGATGATTTATATAAAATAAATCAGTACTTTGTTTATATTTAAGCTATTATCCTATAATAAATATATTAAAACACAAATCGTAACCTCCCAAGCTCGACGTGTTTTGTCCAATGTATCAGCCACAACATAAGAAACCGATACGGCGTACCCCAATTTAACAAACAATATTGGTACTTGTGGACGAAAGGACTCTCCTAGTTCACTTGCATATCCTGAAAAATTACTTATTTGAATTAATATTTAGTTTAAATTTAGTTTTAATGTTTCTTTAAATTACCTAAATATCGCACAGGGGTATCTCGATATAAATCTCTCTCTACTTTATTTACTAAAACATATTTCGGTATTTCTTCTTCTTGTATTAAGTTATTTCTTGTAGTATTGCATATTTCTCTTTGAATTTGATCGATTGCAGCTTTAACTTCTTCTAAAGACCTTAATATTGCCAAATCAGCACCTCCCAATTCAAATTCTAACCGTTCTTTTGCTTCTAATAATACTTTTAGTTTTTCTTCATTTTTCATTTTCATCATGCATTTCTAGTAGTATTTATAATTTTATCAAGCATAATAACATTTCACACTTTTAAAATTTTAGATAAAATGTACGTTAAATTTTAATGTGAAAGTATGTAGCCAAATTTACTATTTTTTTGTAAAAATTTTGTGAATTGTGTTTTTTTGAAAATTGTTTGAACGAATTTTGTTCGTAAATTTTGAATAGTGTTTTATTTTTGTCAGATCAAATAAGCAAATGAAAAGCTTCTGATATTTCAATATAAGTAGGTTTAAAATTGTGGAAATAGTTTGACCAGTTTGTTGATTTTACTACTCGATCACTTGATGCACGCATTATTACTTAGAAATTGAAATTATATAACAGCATTTAAAAAACCAAAAAAAGGTTACTTGAGGGAAATAAAATCGGATGTAGCTCACTTTAAATGTCATTGAAAAGATTGAGCATCCAATGCAAAATTATATAAAAATTGAGAAGATAGCATCAATTATTATTGCTAGTGTAATGTATGTAGTCCAAGTGCGTCAATGAATACTTATCTTTGACACTTTCTTCTATATCAAAATCACGAAAGCGAGGACACATCAAATTATTTATAAAAATTAGATAGTAAAAAACAATACAATTTTTGAATCTATGTTTAACTGTTAATGTTTTAGTCGATTAGTAGATTGTTCATGTATTTAAAATACATAGTAAAATAAATGGAAGTACATATGTACACTTACAAACAATACATATGATGCTATTTAAAACTAAGAGATAATTTAAAAAGTCGCGAGTACAATGGACAGAAAATATGAAAATGATCAAAAATAATGTAATAATAATTAAAAAACAAGCAAACTTTTTTTAAATATTCTAATTGTATGCTCAGTTTTCTCAAAAACTGAATTGTCATTTTTAGGATTTTTGCTCCGTATCTCCGAAACAGCAGGACCTACTGCCAAAAACTAATTAGCACATCTCCTTATCAACAGAAATTATTCAAATGGGTTGATCCGTGTTCTCAAAATCGTCGCGGAAAAATTGTATCCGCACATACTTACATCCGGTAAAACGTAAAGACATATAAAAAATATTTTAGATTTTTTTGCGATTACTTAACCTATGGGAAGTTAATATAGCATATATTGTTTGATATGCACAATTTTATAAAAAGTAAACATTGAAAATTAGAATATTTTCAAAAATTCGAGACAATCCGGCACAAAAAACCTGAATCCACGCAAGTATTGCAATACTTTTTTAAAGCATGCTTTTAGAAAAATAAGGTATGCACGGAAATTGTTTTTTCGTTGACGATTTGAATTTAATTTTAAGAAACATTCGATTCCTATTAACAAGGAGTCGTGCTGATTAGTTTTTGGCAGTAGGTTCTGCTGTTTCGGAGATACGGAGCAAAAATCCTAAAAATGACAATTCAGTTTTTGAGAAAACTGAGCATACAATTAGAATATTTAAAAAAAGTTTGCTTGTTTTTTAATTATTAAACGGTCCAGCCGTTTTGAAGATACGGAGCTAAAAGTGCGAAAACGGGTAATTCAGTTTTTGAGAGAACAGAGCGTCCGATTTTAATAAATCAAAAAACATTTTACTTTTATTGACATTTGGTTAAATTTTGAGAAGGCAGGCCTAGCGATTTCGGAGACGAAATAAAAAAATGCCATTTGGCGGTCAAAAATGATCATTATAGACATATGCACATAAAAAATTATCAGGTATTTTATAGAAATTTTAATAATAATTACAAATTTTGTTTACAATTTTATGGTTCCGTTCAAAGATTTATCATGTTTATCCGTATTATATTTTTTCAATCATTTTTTATTATTTTCTTAAAGAGTATTTGTTATATATTATATAATTTAAAAAAAAACGCATGACAAAGCAAACATTTGTCCCGAATTCGAAATAAAAATGTTTAGTAGGTCACATTTAATATAAAAATGATAAAAAGGCTATTTGATTAAAACATAAAAAGTGAAGGATTTTGATTAATTTATTCAAACTAAACTATAAACTAGTGGGGTGTATGGCATCGTGTCTTATGGCAAATTGCTGGAACTTCCCGTACCGTAACGAAATGTGCGAGGAATACTGTTTTCCAATTGATTATTATTAATATTGTAACATGTCTAATATTTATAAGAACTATATAAACTGAATTACAACGTTGAAATTATTTGTTTAAAGTATATTAGAACGTTAGTCAGAGTTAAAAATTAAATATGAATGATTTTTGATATACAAAAAAATATTAAAAAAAAATTGAAACAAAAATTGTTTTTTTCCAAAATCAATTATTTTGGTAAAACAAGCAGAAAGTTCTTTGAATCATTCAAATCGGACGCTTAGTTCTCTCAAAAACTGCCATTTTTTTCACATTTAGCTCTGTATCTTCAAAATGGCTGGGTCTGCCTTTGCCAAAAACTAATATATAACCACTTCTCCCAATCATTGCTAATTGAATGTTTTTAGATCATTCAAATCGGATACTTCGTTTTTTGTCAAAATTTTCGTCAAAATTTTTGTCAAAAACTAATCAGCACATCTCCCTATCAATAGGAATCGAATGTTTTTTGAACCATTCAAATCGGTTGATCAGTGCGCCCGAAAACGTGAACGAAAAAATGCGGACACACAAAACACACATCCATTTTTTCTGAGGTATGCCAAAATGTTCAGAAACCTTCAAAACGTCGAGAAATGCAAAAATTTTTAATTTCGATTTTTGGACGATTACAATAACTTACCCTACGGGAAGTTAATAATTTATTGTGTTACTTTTAGATGATTATCATCTATGAAGCTTGAATACTCTTTTATCTTGCAATTTAATGGATTTGGAGAATCTTTTCAATAATTTTACAAATTCTTATTAAGTCAACAATTCTCAAGAGATAAAATAATATTATATTGCGCAAGATTTTATATTTTTAAATTAAATTCATTAATTACGACTTTAGAACCATTCGTACAAATATGCAAAGAATGTATGTCGACAATTTACAAGCATATTTAGCACGATGACCTTACGGTTGAGAAGCGCGCTATTATTTATTTCGTATTATAATAGCTTTTGATTAATTGCTCAGATTTTGATTTTAGTTTTTCCAAATTTACTGAATGAACAAGATCGACTATGCATGATAGTTGTCAATCTATTGGCATAGTTTTTAACATACGTTAGTTTTATTTTGATTCATTTCTGTACACGATTTCTACCGCACTTGTCTATGTTACATTTACTCGTAAACAACTGGTAAGAGCGGATCTGTCTTCATTAATAAATATTTAGATGCGTTCAAATTTGCTCATAGCTAAAATATCTAAGCATCTATAGAATAAATCATTTTTTTCGGTTATCTTTAAAGATGTTGTTGCTTTTATCAAGAAGACTATAATTTTGTTACAGTTACCGAAAGTGACCTCGCTTTTGATAACTGCTTCAATGCATCTAACGAGGTCGTTGTGTGACGGAGCTATGATACATATGTGAAACAGTGTCAAAATAATATTTCGGCAATTAAATTATTGTTTTATAAAATTGTGTTTATATACGAGAACGATGTGATTACGTTCATTTTTCTTAGTTTTATTAATACGCCTTTCAATATTTTTATTTATTATTGCATTTAGATAAAATGGGTGAATTAGAAGAGGTTATCGCAGATTTGCGAGCTGTTCTAATTTCCAGAAAGGAGCCTGCCACCGTTCATCTACTAAACAGTTAGTAAATTTTATTTAATGTAGTAAAAAGTTATTTTTTATAATACTTTGATATGAAATTTTTATTACAGGAGATTACAAAGAGTTGCATGGTACGGATGTGCCCTATAAAAAGTTTAACTTTACGAACTTAGAACAGTTTTTAAGGAGTGATCCTACCTTTTTATTTAATACAAAAGGAAAGGATGTGTACGTGTCTGTTGTGCCTAAAAAAGAATCACGGCATATAAGTGAAATGATAGCTAAACAAAAAAGCAATAAGAAGAAGTCACATGCTGTTCGACAGGTTAAAAATTGTTTTCTATTTTTCTCAAATATTATAAAATATTAATGAAATTGTTTTATACTTTTGCAGCCCAGGGCTCTTAATACAAATCCAATGATAAACGTACAAGCAAAATCACCAGGTAGAAATTATTCCGCCAATATGAGGATGAACAGAACTTCCAGATCTGCTCAATTATTTTATAAAAAGGTTCAGTTCCCAAATCAGTTTTTTTTATATGACCTATTGGCTTAAAATTGAAAACTAACATTTGCTGCAATTTTAAATTACATACTAAATTATAACATTCTTCAATGATATATTTTTAAAAATTAGTGAACTGTGCATGTAGTTCAATAATATATTATGTAATTATTTCATTTATTCAATTTCAAATAAAAAAATTTTAGAGCCCTGCGTCAGCACGTTTTAAGCCAAGACAATCAAGTTATAATTCACCGGAACAAAATATAATTCAACACGGTTTGCAGAATCAGCCTCAACCCTCAATGCAATCGATAATTTCACAATCACAACATCAAGCTCTACCAAAATCGAACCCACCGCGACATACAATGAAAATAATACAATCTCATCTGCAACCGCAAGTAAAACAATCAATGCCCAGTCAAATGATGAAGGAAAATACTGCATCAAATACACCAAATATACAAGTTGCATCAAAGAATTATCAATCAAATAAACAGGCTACACAGAGAAACCTTCCTTCTTCTAAAACCAATTTACCTCCAACTAAATCTGAAGTATTAGATAAGTTGCTTGAATGCAAACAAATACGAATGCCAAAAGCTGCTCCGAATCAGAAAGAAAATACAGTAGCTACAGCACAAAATAAAACATCGGATAACAAACATTCTGATAATCCCTTGCAAGAGAATAAACGCAGTATTTTGAATTTGGAACCTGTTCCTAAAATAACAAGAAATGTTAGCCTTTCAAGCGCGAATGGCAATGAAAACATACAGGTGACAATGTGCACTAACGGTAATATGTTGCCTACTTTCAGTGCGCAGGATAGACTCAGCAGGATAAGGCAGATGCAAAATCAGAATAAAGTTCAATCCACAACTGCATCCACTTCAGACAACAATTTGGTTGAGAAATATCCACCCTTACCTATGGGAAAAGTTTCACAACAATCAAGGTTATTAAAATATAAAAATCCGGAAGCAGTTACTAAAATAGACGTTTGTGAAAACAAACAGTCATCACAACCTGATGAAGTAGTTAATTCAGACGATTCAGACTTTGATAAAAATTTAAATTATGAGGAACTTTTGATGGATTACTGTAATGAAAAAAATATAGCTCTACCGAATATTAAAATTTTGCAACACAAAATTCATAAGGATTATAGATCAGACCGCCCTAGTGAAATTTATGGATGTAATGTCAAAGTAAGTGAACATACAAATCCTAAATTAAATAATATATACGAATTTTGCAAATACTTACGTGATTAATATCTTTCTAATAATTAGATTTATATATGCTATTTTTTCTAAACTTATTTTTTGGGTAATTATAAAACAGAAATCACTATGAAATTCTGTAACTTTTCATGCGCTAAATGTACATAAAATATGTTGACTTTGAAATATACATTATTTGAACAGATTGGAGATCAATACTGTTTTGGAAGTTATTCTTATTCATTTAACAACCCTGAGGATGCTTCTCGGGATGCATGCAGAAAAGCTCTTCATGCTTTAACGAAAATATATGGATCATTAGAAGAACGAGATTTACCAGTGACTGAAGGCACATTAATACCAAATAGGTTTTTAAAACTGATTGCAGGTCATAGTAATGGCAAATTTGTTCATCAATTACCTGGAGAATATCGGTAAATAATAGAATATACAGTTGTTTCTGGCAATTATATTATTTGTACTAATTATTTAAAGCAGTTGGTTAACAAATCTGCTTTTAATGATTTATATCAAATAATTGCTCTGAAATGCTTATTGATTTGAAAACACAATGTGAAATTCTACTTTAAGGGGGTATTCTACTGTAGAGGCATGAATTTCGCCCGGTTTTTGAAGCGCTGTATAAAGGAAACAAATGATATTTTTACTATCGATTTTTTTTATCATTTGTTTACTGATATTTTATTATTACATAAAAAATTATTAAAAAAAAAAAATTAAAATTCACAAAGTTATGAGCAGTCAAAGTGGGGGCTCAAAAAAAAAAGAGGGTGCCTGGCGTGCATCATTCCAACTCTCCTGGTGATCCGAAATATAAAAAATAGATGGATTCTTATTTATTGTAGATGCCGCTATCGTATGACCCTTGGATAAGTTAAAAAAAAAATTGTTTAAATGGCGGCAGTTTGAAAAAAAAAATTTTTTTTTCATGTTTTTTTAACAATTCCGAATTTTTTAAAAATACTAAATGAAAAGTTATAGTTTTGGTCCATGCGATAAAGCGATGTGTAGAGAATATTCTCTCCAAATTTGAAGTATGTAAATCGTATCATTAGAACTCGAGATATCCTTACCGCCAGCTCGAAAAAAGTAGTTCCGAGATAAACGTGTTCAAAGTTTTGAGACTCGGTCGGACCCGAACCGAGGCCACGTCACTAAAACGGTTATAACTCAGGAAATAATAGTAATTTTGAAAAATCCTTTTAATGACATATTTTTGAATAACTAAACTTTGAAAATATGAAAAAAAAAATAATATTTCGATTTTTTCAAAATTTTACAGTAGAATACCCCCTTAAGTTATTTTCAATTTTTAATGATTTGTTAAAGTTTACATTTACTTATATTCTGTATTAACCATTTTAATTTTGTAGTGAAGAGTACCGTGAAAATTTGCCCGAAGACTGGTTAGATTTTGTAAAAATGTCACATATATTTCAAATTGAGGATTCAGTAGCTGGAAGTCAAATAATAAGCCTCAGAACACAAGATGAATTGACTGTAAGTTTTATCAGAATATATTTTTACTTAATTGCTTCTTACACAGTATAAATTTGAAATGAAAGAAATATATTCAATAACTGACATTCCATACAGATAAGGTATAATATAAAAATATATTGGTTTTTAATCCCATATTTGAGCAACGTGATGAATAAAAATTTTCTACAGAAAATTTTATATATTTATTTACATTCCATAAAAATAGTTAGCTCATGAAATATTAATATTTCTTTAATAATTAATAAGAGCTCTTGAGTGAATAGTAATAAAAATATTCTTTATATACATGAGTATTGATGGCAAAATCTTTTTTTACAAGAAATGAGAATATGATTACCAAAGTCCATATAACATAATAATATTAAATAATAAATGGTTGTCTATGGTGTGAGAGCACCATAAATCAGTGATTTCTTTTCCCTCCCTTGATTATTACTCCCATTACCATTTTCTTACTTCTATTCACTTTTTTATACACTTTTATGCGGTCCTGTCAGTGCTTATATTTTACCTTTTACGACGTCGTGTAGGAGGCACTCTTCTTGCAGCATGAGTCCAATTCAGATTCCTTTTCTTTTATGGATCGTGCTCAGTAGAGTTCTTTCTTTTCTCACTCTCCTCAGTACTTTTTCATTTGTTATTTTATCTCTAACTTTATGTTGTCCATTTTTCTCCAGTCTTGTTTGCATGTTTCTGATTGTGTGATTACTAAGAAAAATATACTTTACATATCTTTTGATGGCAAAATGATTTTTTAAAAACAATGAGATTAATATGCTTATTTATCTAACATAATATTGAGATTAAATTTAGCTTTAATTATAGGAATGTAAGAAAGATGATGGCGATTTTGCTGATCTTCCACCTATTGTTTTGCCTGAAAGAGATTCTTATTGGAATGTATACATTACTACGCTGTGCTCAACAATTGAAGTATGGTGTCGAATTATAGGACCACAGTATGCGGTATAAAAAATATTGTTTATAAAATTTATTTTAAATGTTTTAATAGTCAAAATTAGATTACAAAAATATATTTCTGCAATACTTGATAGAATGTAAAATTCAATAAACATACATTTTCAGACTTTATTTGACGAATTGAGCTCATACATGGAAAAAGAACTAGCAACCAAAAAAACACAAGCAGAAGCAGTATCTGTAAGTGGTACAGCTTATTGAAATAATAGATATAAAATATCAAAATGCCAAAGTTTAAAAAAATTAGTCTATATTTATAACTACAACTGAAGTCATTAATGACTTAAATTATGTTTTTCAATATTGTTGTAATAATTAGGTTGGAGGATATTATGCTGTATGCACTTCAGAATCTTGGTATAGAATTCAAGTACTTGAAATTCAAGATAATAAAGCCTTATGCTTTTACATTGATACTGGGGAAGAAGACTGGCACCTGAAAAGTGATATATTCACTTTAGACCCAAAATACAGATATGTTCCTGCACAGGTTAGAATATTAGTGGTTAAGAAATGCTGAATATATATATATAAAATAAATATAATATGCTATAATTTTTGTTGATTTATTTTCATAGGCAGTTTTATTACAACTAGCTGACTTGGAAGATTATGCCGAAAATAAAAATGTCTTGAAATATCTTAATGAGTACATTCTATACAAA